GGTTCAGGCACCCTATTTTTGGAAGGGGTTAGTCTTGCCCAGTTTAATGTTTTTTATCTCTTTTATCATATCCGGTGGTTAAATAGCAATGGGAGTTATCCTTAAACCACCAAATCTAGGTGTTCCAATGATATTATTGCTTTGCTATGTGTATTGTCGGACTTCAGGTATGTTTTCTTGTTTCTCGCCTCAGCAGTCAATTTTTTTCTGCATTTGTAGAGCTGCTCCATTAGCGGCTAAACTAACGATGACTGACGAGCAGCAGGCAGTAATGCACTCATAATTTTCGCGAAATTCCAAACATAAAAATGGTGGATCGAAAAATGTGTTATAGCGATTTATTAGTCGCAGTGCACTTCTGTTTCTGTAAGTTTTCGAACAGACTGGCACACCCTTCTAGAAAATTTGTTTAGAATGGATGGGCTGTAAAGTTTTGAAAGAACGTCTCCTTTTTATTATGACTCTTTTGCGGCTGCTCTAGAGTTTTGCACTGCTTTTGTCCCATATTGCAGAAGTTAAGAATATATCGTTTTTTTTATACTTATGGAGCGCATTGTTCGACAAAAACTACTCTTTGAAATAATTTATGATCTAATCGAATCCGAGAAGCTGTCTTATGGAATGTGTGTGATTTAATTCCCAACGTATACCTTTGAGAAAATGTAGAGAATTATCAAATACTCTCAGTGATAATAGATAGATTCACTGTCGTTATGTGCCGAAAACAGCTTCCACGTGCGATTATAGCGGTATTGCCATATGTTTGGAATTAGTAACGGAACCAGTTGCCGCACAGCTGACGAGCTCCCTCAATGCACATCGATTACCTCTTCATCCATAAGTTTTTCTCCCTTCACCATCCTTGTGAGAGTGACTAGTGCTAGTGTGTAACATCCATTGACATCGTCGTAACTTCACCTTTTCGTAGGCTCGATCAATCGTCAGGCCATTTTTCGAATCCGATTCGTTTCTTCTTCCATTCTCTGTTCACATTGCTTCTTATGGATTTCCATCGATAATGCTTCGTCTCGCTCTTTCCATCTGCTTAATGTCATTGCTGCCATTTCCGCGGCACCGAGGCATTCTCTTAGCCCCGACTCACCCTCTTCCCGGCTATTATCTGATGAACGCGAGTAGAGTAGTAACTTCGTTTCGATACATTAATTTCCTTCGCCCCGGCTACTCAAAGGTCGTTGAATGTCCGATTTTCTCGCTCTCGCGGCCGTCGACCGGTGTCCGCGCGATTTCTCCGTCGGTCATACCGCCACCGCTGTGGCGGTGTGACACCTTCGCCACCACCGCCACCGTCGCCGCAAGTTCCGTGACCCCACTGTTTCACGAACTTTTCAAGGCTGTATTTGTTTGCAGCGTGTCCTATGTTGCATGAGTGCAAATTGAGGTTTTTATCCACTTATGGATGTTTTTTGTCCTCATGCAGTCTTTTGTTTGGATTCTATGGTATCCAAGGACGTCATGGCTAAGTGCAGAAGAGGTTTTATCGATTGGTTAAGCAGAAATAGCTCGTTTTTCATTTTTCAGCAAAGAAATGACAGCAACAGATTGTCAGTGACTCATTGTTTCAAGAAAGCAGTTGTAGTGTTCTCTACGATTGTGTTGGAGCTTTGCTAAGGGACGCACGTAAATATTCACCTACCATCCTGAAAGGAGAACATATCTGTCTAAATATCAATCCTTTCTTCTCTTGGGTTTTCAACTACATACGTAGTTTTCCCTGAAATGCAAGAAAATAGAGTTTTTGCACATCAGAGAAGCTCATAAAGTACTCTCTATGTACGGTTTCAGAATTTTTTGATCGGATCCTCTTATTATGGGATGTGGACCTCAGCCATAGCCTTATATAGCAGTTTTCCACTTGGGTCCGGCGTCGTTCTCTGAGCTAAATTTTTCTCTAAGATTTATAAAGAATTTTTGAATTGCCGCAAATTCTTACAAGACCATACGAGATTTGTCTTCTAGTCGTGATGACCGGTCTGAACAACTTTCTGTACGAGCTCGTTATTCTGCTCTTTGATCATATTCATACCATAACTCAACGCCAATTGTGGGCATCATCTTGCGCTCAAGAATTCAATTCTTCATACCAAGTTTATGTAGATACTTAGTGAATGCAGAAGTAGGCTAAAGCGTTACCATTACTTGGACCAAGCGATAAGATATGGTAAAGAATTAAGGTTCCTCAAAATGGAGAACTTCTGAAATTGTCGATAGAAACTCCTTTTTTTGCTTTGTCATGCTTTATTGATGAGCTGTAATAACGCTGAATCATAATGATTCGTATAAGCGCCAAAACATTCACGTTGGTCCCGGTCAAAATAAATGAGCATTTATCTTTTTGCTAGCGTGAGTTTATGCAGGCGCATACATTATTTGTATTGCTATCAAACGTCACTAAACGCGAGAATTGTATCAGATATATTGCTTAAAATATATGCATATTATGTACATTGTAGAGCGTTCTCAAGACCACAGTTTCCTGACATTTGACAATTTTATTCGTGTTCTGCGTACTGTTCTGCTCATCTCTCATTATGTGACACTGAATTTGCCGAATCTGTATAGAGTTCAGGTTGGCAGTGAATTTATGTTGTGATGCCCTCTAAGATCGCGAAACAAATTTCCATGCCTTTAGTGCCAACAACATTTGCTCGTGAAAAATGGCCACAGAGCGCACATTCTTAAGTATAGCCGCTTTTGACCTTTTTTCGCATTTTTTTCGAATGCTATGCTGTATATAAACCATCGAACTTACCAGGATGGTATCGAAGCTCTATTGCATCATTTACAGAGCAATTCAGAAAATTATCGAAATCAGTTTTAAGCAGACTATGTGATTCATAACACTGAAAGCTCATTATACGTTTTATTTCTCTTTCTTGGAATTTTCTCGAGACTATGATTCTGCGTGGAAACGAGCGGCACAATATTGTAGACAGCTTAAGTCATAAAAATCATGTATAGACGGTTTAAGGAGCCTAGCCCCCCCCTCCAGCTTCAAATAACCAAAAGTCAAATATTGTTTGCGCCAGCTCAATGTCATGCTCAGGTAAGGTACACTTTGTTGGAAAAAATGTGCTTTATCCAGGGGGAAGCACTTTGAAAAAATGTTGTGCATTTATATACTCACGTGATAAAAATTAAAAAAATTTTCCAATATTCTATCTCCATTCATCGGTATTGTTTTTTATCCCCTGAACGGCTTCATGTCGCATCGATCCCTATCAGTCCCATCCACATAATATTATTGCGAGCGGATGTTTTCTGTTTGTAAAAGTACAGAAATTCGGTTGTACTTGCATTCATATATTCAGTCGTGTAGTCCTATTTTCAGTTTATTGAACCGTAGTGCAATGTAACATACGCTGAGGTACAAAAGGCATACATGTGTGTTCCTATCATTTGCTTGGTAGTTTCTCGTGCATTTTATGATCAACGATCACAGCTTTGAAAGTATTTCCGCTATATGAAAGTGATTTTGAGCCTTAGCCAAGCCACACTGCCCTTGCGAGAGCTTGTGTGATTTGATCGTGGTCGAGAAATTCTACCATGAACTTTCGCCCAGACCGTGCCTTCTGTCGTATCGAGGGAAGCTTGGTGCGGCCTGGACGAGAGCTTAGTGTTAGATTTCTCGGAAACGAATGAAGCATATGAGCTGCCGCTTAGGCAGCGGCTCAATCGAGGCTTTCCAATCAGAATCCGCCCTAGACTACCCAGGTTTGCCTAGATCATACCTTTGGTTGTTTTCTTTACTGCATTTCAGCTCTTGTTCCTTTTCTTTGCATTGTCCAAGCCTTGTTTTAGTCCACTTTGCTTGTTTCTAGTCCAGACCTTGAGGCTCAGGACTTGCAACCGGTCAAAACCAAGGAGCACGAATTGATACTTGCTGCTCTTTGCTTTTTCTTTGCTGAACCGAGTGGCCTCTGTTCAGCAAATTGTTCCTTCATTTGTGGCGCTCGTGTTTTGTCACAATCGGGCCTCGACCAGCTCTTCATTGTTCATCACGTCGCGAAGAGTGTGTTCGCAATTTGGGACGGCGAGTCTCTTGAAGGTTCCTCAATTCGCAAAACTTTTCGAATCATCAATGTCGATGGTCTCGCGCTTCATATTCGTCTCAATTTTTCGACCAAAACTCAAAGTTGTAAGGGATAGTTTTGTTGAATTTTCGACGTTTAAGATCAAAAAGATGTAGATCAAATGTTGGTGTTATAAATATTCAAATTTCGATGTAATTTGATTTGAATTTTGGCCGAAAAATATTGAGATGAATAGGCATGAGACCGATTTTCGTTGATGATTTGGAAATTTTCCGAACGTAAAAAATTTTTGCAATGAAGCTCCGTTTGTTCTTCTGCCATCACTCTTTGTTTCTTTGTCTTTTTGTATTTCTTGCGGGAACGGATAAAAGAGAGTGCTGCGGGTCTTACGTTTTTTTTCATCCCATCTTTGATATTCTCGCACATTCATCAAACCGGTTCAGGAAACGAGTTGCAATCTTCTAGTACCAATAATATGTTTGAGTAGACATTCTCTTTACATGCATGTCATCTGCTAGACCTTGAATGCTTTGCTTTTCCTCAACAATTTCTCTATTTTTGCCTCATATTGCATCATTTAGAAGCTGAATAGGGATAGTCTCCCCAGCGACCGTTCCATCTCCGGATATTCGCTGTTTGTCCTTGCTTTCTAGCTGGATTTGTCGCTATTTGTCCTGTCCGAGCCACTCTTTATACAGTTGTGCACCTCTCATCGATCCCTCTCTCACATTCCCTTTCATAGCCCCCCCCCGTCCGTGTGTCAGCTCTCTCCACCCCCCTCTCGCTTTGATTGTGCTTGTTTAATTCAACATCATCGCATTAGTGGAATAGGGTGCATCTTCAGTCTGTCTGTGGGGTTTTTTTTCGATTTTTCTCCTTCCTCATCGCTCGCAATGTCATGCGCGAAGGTCGACCTAATCTCACCAAAATTCGATCATTCTCATTCTCAGCCCGGTCGCCATGGACTTCGACTTGAACATGGATTTTTCATTCCTAAATGGCGATGATCCAACATTGGGCATGGTACTGGCGGCCGATGATAACTCGCTATGGGAAAATTTTTCTCCATTTTTGGATGATAATGAAATTGTACCTGAAGGTGCGGTAAGCCATTAGGTAGTCGCAGAATTCCTGCTAATCTTCATTTTTCAGCTGCGGAAGATACGTTCTGCAGTAAGATGATCTCACAATTAGAAGGACTTGAACAATGTGACGATCACAGCTATGCTGCTTTATCACCATTAAGTTCACCACGACAAGGATCGTTAAGCATCGGAAGCGATTCGCCAACGAATACATCAGGCTCTGAAGGTCAGCGAAGCTCAATAGTGCACTTATTGTTAGTGAAAACGATTTACAAAAAGTTGAAGTGAACTCTCGAAGTGTTGAGTGGAACAGTTCCTGTAGGAAAAACGGAACTGCGACAGTGTTATAGTCTCTTGGACTGTCGACAACTTTTGCGCGAGAATAAATGTCTTGCATGTGAAATGTCGATAACATGCTCGCGATCAGCGCGTGAAAAATGCCATAGAAATCAAATTAATTCGTTCAAATCTCCATAAAGCGCATTGCTAATGTTTTGCTAATGGGTTCTTCATCATTAAAAACGTCTGGCTTTGTAAATCTGCCGCTTATATGCTTCTTCGATGACGACAATATTTGCGCGGAAAGAAAATGCCATTTCTCTATTTGTCCACTACTTGCTTGCAATGTGCGCATAAAAAACGACCATAGGGAAATTGTTGTTCACGCGCAAATGTTGTCAGCAACGCAAGAACACTATATTGAGCGCCAGCTTGACTAGGCTAAAAAAATTTGTCGTTCAGGGATGTCAGCTTCCATTATCCAAACCACTGAAAAAAATTTACGGTGTCTTGAAAGTGTGCATTTTTAACTTCTTGTCTATAGTGAAAACTTATTTTGCGAAATTACATAGGGGGTAGAGCAAACACCTTGTTTACTAGGAAGTAGAAGGCTATTAGGAACCCGCAAATAATCAAGGATTCTCTTCTCAGACATCTGAAGCTGCACTTCACCAATTTTCAGTGAAGTAGCATCTATACCTTCATTGAACATGCAAATTTACACCCCAACGAATCTGCTGCAAATCTCATATGTAGAGCGACTACACAGAGAAAATTAGCATAGAAAATAACCCAAGAATTTATTCCCATTTTCCTTTCTGAACCTAAACACTACAAAGAAATCAGAAAAAAAGTATGGACTTTCTTGGATCTCAGCAGTAGTGTTAGAGGGCCGTTTAAATTAGAAAATTGAAATTTAGCAACGAGCTAACCTATCATTCCTTCTTTTAGTTCACAGCTGTAAGCTGCTTTGGGAACTATTTTTAAACTGGTGTAGGAACCATAACTTAGCTTTGAATATAGGAGCGAACCCCCCGTTTTTCACTTCTCTAAATGACTTCAGTCACTCATATCTTGCTTTGCCTCTCAATCAACGACTAAATGTCGTTTCAGCCTCATATCCATTGGATATTCTCGAAGCTGCTAGCCAAGAATTATTCACTCAGACTTCATTTGACGATGTTAAACAAGAAGACACCTCACCAACCTCTCAGGCGAGTTTCTGGTCTTTAATTGCTCAGCTGTTCCCATCATTTTGAAGAAACTCCTTAGCTATGACCTTACTTTTTCAGCCAACCACCATAGCAGCTTCAAACAGCACAAGTGCTCGCTCATCACATTACGCACCTTACCGTCTTCAACCGGTCTCTAATCAACAAAAACGAGCACCAACCCTTACAGCAGCACGAGCAGTCGCACAACGACCAGCTCCAGTCGTTCGATTTAGTGAGTTTTTTCGGATAATCCTTTTTTATGTCGTGCCCCACTCATCTCTTTCTGGTCTATTTTTGCCCTCTCGCCTACATAACCGGCCTGAATTGACGTAATTGGGGGGCTGGATGATGTCATTTACATAGAAAGAAACATTAGCCGCATGCATGACGAGAGCGGAAGTTTAAGGCATCGATCCGCGCTTCTTTTCTTATATAACGCTGGAAATTCTAGAGGGTAAAGTAACTGGAGAGCCCATCTGATATGCGCCGCTACATAAACGAGAGAGAAATGAAAATAATATTTGCTGAGGGCTTTATGTTATCTTGATATATTAGGTACTTTAACGTAGTAGCGTATTCTGAACAACGTTTTCTTTTTCGTTTCTTCTTCTCTTATTTGGATAGCGAATGTAGTGACTGGAAACCATGAATATCAGTGGATAAAAACAACAACATCCATTTGAAATTATCGGATTCGCAGTCTGTGACCAACTAATCAAATTACGCTTCCTGTGATTTTCGGTAGATAAGATTCACAAGAAATGAGCGCTTGGAAATTATGAGGCCACAGAACATTTCCCATTTTCCCGCTCTGAAAGCCTCATCCGCTGGGTGAGATCATACATTCGGCTTACTAACTAATAGGAAAGATAAATGTTATTAGATTAGCATTACTTTGCCTTGAGCTGTACTTTCCTTCTTCCCTTTGTTGCAGTTATCAGGTGATTAAAATTTTGGTTACTCTTTTCTTGTTAGTCAAGTTCTGCCAATTTACAGCTTTCCTCGACTTCTCGCGTTTGTGGCTTATGTTTTTGCATTGAATTGACGTTATAGAGTATCTTCCACATATATTCTTGTTTCTCTACAATTCCTTCGGCCACTTCATTTTTCAACCTGTTCATAGGCAAAAGTGTTATGGGTATCATCATCCTCCATTAGAAGTGTTCTTTTCACATATTAGCTAACGACATTCATGCTAGGAGTGCTTAAGATGTCATAGCATCGTTGAGTACCTCTTTAACTATCATAATTGGTCGCATAGTATTCTTCTGTTCATGCTAATACTTTTTGAGTGCTCTTGCAGAATGTCCAAAATCATCGAGCTAATCTACCTTTTTTGATTTGACCCTCGTGAAGTCCTCAATAACCTTCGAATGAGAAGGCCGATTCAAATTCGAAGTACTTTGTCGCCTACATATGATTATTGCAATTAGAAGATAACGAGATTATTCATTCAATAAAAAGCGGTAACACTTATTACCGTACCTACCGTTTCCCTTTCATATATCTGAAGACCACGGTAGGGGGGCAACAAGTATTTGAATCGAGATGAGTGCAGTCTTCTTTTTCGTCTCAAAATTTCTCGATAGGTTCTTGAAATCTTCTTGGCGGTTCGAAGAAGGCCCTTTTTTTCTGTGAGAATTTTCGTTCATTGAATGGTCACTGAATTTGGTGGTGAGCTTCTTGGGTGATGACAACATTTGTGCGGGAACATAAGCCATTTTGCTCACAACTTTTGTGTGCTAAAAATGGCTAGGCCTCATGGTCAGCTTTTACTCTTCATCAGCACAAAAATACTTCAAAATCTACTAGATTTGAGGGATTGATTCAGTTTGTGGTCTCTCATTTTTTGATATGTAGTCGGACTGCCAGGAAAGTAGAATTGAAAGACTTTTTGTTCGAACCATAAATAGACAAATCGATCAGTGTGATCCTTCTCGAGGTGTTAAGAGTGGATTATCCAAAAGGAGCGTTACAAGATCACTGTAGTAGATAATCATAACGCTCACGTGTCGGTGATGTTTTTGACTTTTTGTCTCATAAACTGAGATATTAACGTCATTGATGAAGGTCAGCGGAACAGTTGATCCATCTTTCATGAATGGCTGGTTGAGATAATCTGGGTCAGCACGTGCATGATGTCTCAGCTGAGATTTGGTCGAATTGAAGGCCATATGATTCCGTTCTTGACCAAGGGCGTTGCGAAAAAGATTGCGGGGGTCAGGGCTCGGCAATGAAACTGAATAAACATAGTGTGGAGCATTTGTAACTCAATGCATGTTGCACAATATGTGCGCTACTTGACGACTAGTAAGCTACCTGCTCATTTCCAGAATTTTCCTTGTTTTCTTTTCTCCTTTAGTTTGACTGGATATGTGTTAGTCGTGATACACGTTTCTACATTTTTTCCTCCAGAAAAGGCTTTACTAAGGGGTTACTAGTGAGGGTGTCGTCGGTTGCTGCGCGTAGTGTGCGGACTCACATACTCAGTTACAAATAACTCGAGGATAGTTATGTAGGCAGGAGTTAGTACAGGCTAGAAGAGAATATGCTGAACGGCTCAGTCTTTTTGTCTTACTCTGAGGATCTTTTTTCGCAAAAAAATTCCTTTTCAGAACCTGCCTTGCGCAATCCAGCTAACATATCACTAAGCTCACCATCAACATATTCTTCCCCATCATCATCGACTCTCTCAACCACACAGACTGCTCCAACTATCAAAGGACCGACTGGTGACAACTAGAACAATAAACAAAGCGCTTTTCTTATCCACAGCAGTTCGCATTTCTAATGTTTCAGGCGAGCGTCAGCGAAAATATCCAGCCTTAATTCTGACAGAAGAAGAAAAGAGATTATGCAAAAAAGAGTCGATTCTTTTGCCGGAATTCTATCCATTAACGAAGGCTGAAGAACGTGATCTAAAGAGGATCCGACGAAAGATTCGCAACAAAAGAAGTGCCCAAACAAGCCGCAAACGCAAACAGGTACCATTTGAGGCTTCAAAAAACTAGGCTCTCAATTTAAAGAGGTAAAAAACTCAGCCAAGTACCAAGCTAGTGGGGTCTTTATTCATAGCAATATAAGCTGCAAAAAGAGGGATTTCACTCCGAGCTACTTGAGCCGTAAGATATTTGTGTCCTCCCTGCGATAATAGTCTCCAAATATTGAAACAAAATTGCAATAGTCCTTAGAGCTCCTACATCATTTCTACACACTTTTTTGCTACTCCACACTCCTTTTTTAAGAAAGCTCCTGTCTAGCCCTATCTAAGGAGAGTATTCCGCCAGCACTGGTAACATTTCAAAGCTGCACGGCTGAACCTTTTTCAGAAATACCTCGTTGTTTTTGTAAAGAGAAGCGGCGATTTTTACAATTGCTTACGCAGTAGTTTACTGGCCGTATATTTTATTTGCTAGTTTCATAATGTTTGTGAGGACTCGGAGGTAATGAGAAAGAGATGTCATTAGACTCCCATGCACCCATTACAAAAGAAAAGAAAAGTTAGTGCGAGCGAGGGGGGAGGGGTAACCGTCGAAATTTTAACGATGTAACAGAGTTCTAGCGTTCATCGTACATAGTTAAATCATTCTCGTTCTGCTGAGTGTAGAGCAAGGACGTAATAGCTAGAAGCAGCCTTATCCACCGCAACAGGGTTTAATTGAACTAATCATTGACTAGACATGGATGTTCCATCCAAAATTGCTGCTGAGTATACTGTGGCATCCAAAATTGTAGGCATTGCTGGTAGTTATGCAATTTCTTTGCTTCGCTGCCTTACAAAAGCTTATGAATTGTAAAGCGCTTCAACTTCGCTTCATCTTGCAGAATAAAGCTGCTAGAAGAAAGCCGCCTCTCATATCAGTACATAACAGAATTATAAGATTTACTGTGGTGCAGATTCAAGATCTAGGGTCAGATATTGAGCGGCCCACGAAAAATATAAACAATAAAAACAATGCCTAATTCGAAATTCAGGGACTTTTGCTGGTGTGTTTGGAAATGGCGGTCGTGGAATCCCCTAGTTCTGAAAGTTTGAAGGGAACTTACTCTCGAAATTTTTCCCAAGTTTTGGTAAAAAAAGGCTATGATCGTCAAAACTACTAGCACGTTCAATATTTTAATGCGATTTCAAAAATATCAAGCTTTGCTTCTTGTATAAAATTTTTTGGAAACAAAACAAAAATTTGCAGTAAAAATGACGAAGTCGGCAATTTTGTTTCAAAAAATTTTGTACGAGAAGCAAAGCTTGATATTTTTGAAACCGCATTGAAACATTGAAATTTGCCGTTTCATCATCGTCTTTTCTGTAAATGCAAATTTCTTTACTTGATTAGGTAAGCATTCTTTACTGGGTTCAAAGCCTAACAGTAAGTCAGTAAATCCATCGAAAGTCAGGCATGAATCTTTTCAGCCCTCATATATGCAGGTTACATTGCAACTTGTCAAGCCTGATTGCGAGTTTCAGATAAAAAATCAGTTTGACAAAAAACTACAACTCTTCCTTTGCTCGATAGAATCACTTCTGAATGAATCTACTAGTTTTTCTTATTCTTTTGGATTGTATACGCAAAAAGCGCGAGTTTAGCTTCTGTTTGTCCATGACGTTTAAATTAGAATCCGTTTTACATCCGGGCCAAGAAGAAAAATTAAAACAAAATGAGAAAGTAACAAAACTTAAAGGCAGCGTACACCCAAAACAAATGCAACAGATGTTGCAACAGCAACTGCAACTGCAATTGCAGCTTACGCTGTTATGGATTTGTCCGGAGGAGGCGGAGCGAAAGAAAAGGGGCGGCGTGAAAGAAAATTGAGGGGGGTTTTCTCCGCTCAGAAGCAACATTGGGAGACCGGACCAACGCAGTTGGTCTTCTTCTGGGCCCAGTATATACACGGTGTAGAAAAATCTAGAAAATTAGGCAACTTAGATTTTGGGTGTACGCTGCCTTTAAGGATATAATTCCGTTCCATTCCTTCCACTGGACGAAAAGGATAAGAGTGCGATCTTCCTCGTAAATCATCAGTAGTGAGGGAAGATCGTATGGTTAAGAAAAATGATAATAAGGGAACTATCCTTAACCTTCGTCTAGTTTGTCTTCTCTCGCCTCGATCTTTATGTGTAAACATATCTCAAACTCGGGTAATTAAACCTTAAATTTTACAAAAAAAAATCAATATCAACAATGAATTTTTGTTAATTCGGTACATGTACCCATGTAACATTACACTTACTCTGCAAACTCCACAGTTGTTTGTTTTGGAGAAGTGCCTACAGTTTCGTTTCCGGGAGTGGTCAAATCCAGGCTGCGCAGTGACTGGTAGTGCCGCTGTAAGCGAATTGCGCATGGGGATCTGTTTGCTTTCGCGCAACAGGCAGCGAGCAAAGGCTATCTGATCTAATCAAGTAAACGTCAGTGAATTCGCTTTCCAAGGGTGGCCTCGTTGAAAATCGCGGCATCGGAACTGATATGTTAGGGGCCGCGGAACGACTGAATTCGCAAATTCCAAGGTTAAAAACTATTAGGTTGTCCCATAAGTCTTTTCATATTCCTACCTTCAATTCGATATTTCTCAAGAACTAGAGCACCTAAAAGGCTGAAAATTTGTGGCAGTAATTTTGAGTTAATACGCTATATAAACACCTATCTGCGGGGAACACAGAACTGATACAGGCAAAGTTTGAAAATTGAGCGCATTATTTTTTTCTCGGTTTCTAGCCGTCAGAAAAATGCAGCAAGGGCATGTATAAATATCCGATGAGGAGAGTGTATGCGTGAGAAAGCAGGAAATTTGCAGAGTTGCTTTGAACTGAGATATGATGATTTTCGTTTTTTTCGAAAAATTGGAAATTTTTCTATTTTGGCTCGGAACTCGTTGCAGATTGAACTTGTTGCAAACTTTTGAACGCCATCTTGTAGAGCTTGCTTTGGTCTTTCGAAGGGTGTCCTACATTTTATCAGGTGTTCAAGAAGAACTGATTTATGTCGTTGAGAAGTCAGGTATGAAAAGACTTATGGGACAACCTAATAGATTTTGTAGCAAGAAATCCGACCACTTGCGCCATAAGTGTGCTGCTTATTATTTTCGGGGTTTAACGCTCGCCATTCAGAAGGATTAGTCTAGAATGAATGTGACGCGATTAGGCGTGAAAAAAGTGCAAAATCATTTTGGTGTTTTTCAAGCTTCTTCGAGATATTTCTAATCTTTGCGATAGCTGAAACTCACTTAGCTTACGAATTCATGGCAACAACATTTTTCCAAAGAAATTTTTAGCAGGGAGCGTACCTTGACAGCATTCGAATAAACTTAGAGATCCCGAATTTTTAGCAAGTTTGTAACTCTGCGTTTTGTTAGGGGCGTGAAAATTTTTTTACAATAAAGTAGTGAATAAAATTGGAATGAGAACGTTTCTGAGGTGTAACCATAACTGCAAATAAAGAGATTTAGAATATCTTGGTGAGAACACCAAATATCATCACTCCGTTCGTTTTTTCCTGTACGCGGAGTTCAAAATGAGTTTTATGTCTTCCCCGGAACTCCTAAGTAAGCTGAATTCTTAGCTGGTCTCATAGCATCATTTTGATTGTACAAAAATGAAGACAAGTTACTTGCCTAACTATAACATTGATCTCCCTCGATCCTATACTCGTTCGTGTCGTCCCATCGATCACTGGATTTGCAGTACACGTTTTATTTATACTTTGATCAACGTTTTCGGAATTACATTTAAAAAAAAAACGGTAGTTTCCCACGCACCAAGCAACATAATTCGTACATACATGGAGTTTAGAAGCAAAATTCACACAAATTTGATTGCTTCGACAGTCGTACCTTTCCCCGCCCCGAACTGGATCGAAATTACAGAAGCGATCTATATGAGGCATAAAATTGTACGGACAACTTCTTCTTAACTAAAATAATTTTTTGGTTCCGAAATTTGAGGATTAAAGGCGATATTCGTCGGCGCTGGGGCTGTAGGTCAGTAAGAACTTTAGAAATCATTTCAGAAAATTTTAGAGGTAGCTAATGCCACTCTAACTCTCGATGAATTTGTCTTTCCCCCCCCCCCCTCCCCCCCCCCTCTCCCTCTCCGAAGAGAAATTTACGGAGCGCCACTGGCAGGCATGTCGAACGCTTTGGAAATAATGATCACATCCACGGCCTTATTGTGCGTTTCCAAGGAATCGGCAATGACTTAAAAATCGAGAAAAACAAATTTTCTTTCCAACCAAACAAAATCGTTTTCGAAATCCCCTGAGCATAGCATGTACATTAGTAAAGGAAGTGGTATTTGTCTGCTATTAAGCTTTATAATCATTGGCTTTATACTACCCACAATATTTTCAGGATTACATTGAACAACTGGAAGATCGTGTCGCAGATTGCAGTCAAGAGAACCAAGAGCTCAAAGCACAAGTCGAACTTCTTACTCGTCAGCATCAGTCAGTGCTTTCACAATTGCGAAAATTGCAAGCTGCACTTGGCCAAGTAAGTTTTTACTTGACGACGTCTTACACCCATCAAATTGAAATCTATGATTTTCCTCCAGAGCACACGCCGAGGAGCTCAAGCAGGCACATGTCTAGCTGTTCTCCTGCTATCGGTATGTCTACTGGTTGCCCCGCATCTGAATCCTTTAGTGAGTTCTTTCCTCTCTTTATCTTTTCTTTCTTTTGTTTTTCAATAGTGCATGTTTTTTTTTTGTTTTATGTGGTATTTAAGCAAACCAAGCAACGAGCGGTGGAATCAGAAGAAGCCACACGCGCTGCTTCTCGCCAACCGAACAACCTCAGTCTACAAGAGGTTGTCAAACGAGCGCCGTCACAAGGTATGGTATTCAAATCTACATTTTCCTTATCGATCATCCCCTTTCTTATTTGTACTTTCTTTGTAATTTGATCTTTTCAGCTCGCTCTCGGACACTCATGGAATATGTTTCAAAGGGTGGTCAATGCCCACAGGTAGCAGAAGTACCCAAAGCTGTTGAAGCTCCGCCAAGTCCTGTGAAAATAGCAAAGCAAGAAGGAACAATATTAGCAAAACGTCGGACGTTTGCTGCGACGCCGCCGGTGCCTAATTCAGGCGGGATAAATTACTTACAGGTTAGTTCTGTGGAAATCTGATCTTGTTGTTTTGTGGAACCATAGAGTTGTAATTGCCAATCCTTTCGTGATATGGGGTTGCCCTGTGGGCATATTCAGTTCATGAAAGTCTTGGTTTTAGCGGGAATAACATTTTGCTAGGTAGAGCAAAACTTGTAGCCTTGAGGGTGTTGCCCGGGATAATCGCGGCTCCACATACGAGTGGTACAATATCTGAGAAGATACTAACTCAGCCGCAGAACTTGCTTACAGACTTCATTACACTGAAGTGAAACCGAAAGACAAGGAGCTTGGAAGTGCTTCGTCTGACTGGTTCTTCTTCCCATCCTACCCGTTTTCAGGTGAATTAGAGGCAGCGGCTCAGCAAAATGACAAACTTTGAAATATTCATCGTTCTTGACTCCCTTAGATGAGCTGAGTCTGAAACTATGCTTTTAAGCTCCAAAAGATATCAATAACCAGCTTTTCCAGACGTGAAAAGTGCTGTTTGGGCGGACGGCGTATGCCTGCCCTCTAGATCGCGATTGGCGCGTGAGTGGAGACAACCCATCTCGGCGGCAATTGGATTGTTGGATTCAGCAGCCACTTTCGCAACCCGCCCAAACAGCACTTTTCACGTCTGGAAAAGCGGGTTATTGATATCTTCTGGAGGTGCAGCACAGTCTCGGACTTAACGTATGTAAAGGAACCGAGAACGATGTATATCCCAGAATTGTCATTCTGCCGAGCTGCTGCCTTTAAGGCGCGGAAAGTGCTAAGTAATGTTCCACTGTACCTTTCATGGTGTACGAAGTCATGATCGCCGCTTTGTAAGGCTCATCTGGATCAAAAATGGGAGGCGTTAAATTCTGAATTTGTCGCCTCGAAGACAATTTTGTAACACGATGGTAAAATCTAGCCAAGCTTGAAAAACAGACTGAAGGTCTGGAGGTTTCAAGCTATATCAAGATATGCTCTACTAGAGACTCTAAGCTCTTCTGGAAATCTATTTTCTACTTCCGTTTCCGTAGATCTTCTTCTTTTGAATGCGCGCATGTTGAGAATTGAGATTAATGCTCTTGGTTTTTGGGAATTTTCGATGTAACCACTGTTCTGTACTCTGCAAAAAGGACTTTTCTGGAAAGCAGTGGCGTACCCAGGATTTCGGCTCGGGGGGGGGGGGGGGCGCGACAAAAAATTTTTTTCTGATGAAGGTGCGTGGCGTTAGCCACGCACCCAGAAAAATTTTTTGGTACCCTTCTTAAAATTTTCGCGACCCCAGAACCCCAAAATTTCCGAAAAAGGGGGCGTGGCGTCAGCCACGCCCCGAAAAAAATTTTTTTATAAGGCTAAATTGAATTTTTAAAAAATTTAAAAAATTATTTTAATTATTTACAAGTGCAGACAAGTCTTTTGCACAATTTTATAACCCATGTAAGTAACTTTCAAAAATTTTGCGACCCATTCTCGGGGGGGGGGGGGCGCCCCCCCCCACCCCCCCCCTCGGTACGCCACTGCTGGAAAGCCACTTCGAATTAAAACAATTCTCATGTTAGTAGGCAGCGAGGCAAAGTGGGGGGGGGGGGGGGGAGGAGTGTCTAGGATTTGATGAGAGGTTTTGAAGGAGGAATGTATGAGAAGGAGGGGCACATTACGATATTGAATTGGCCGGAATCCCACAGCTTCTTTGATCTGTTGACTTTCAAGTCTTGATCTAACATCTTCCCTAATCAGAATATCAGTTGTCCATAGATGCGAGCTAAAGGCGCTGTTTGAAAATTCTTCTTCGCTTGAGATGTTAATTTTCTCGAATTTGAATTAACATTCTAGGAACCGAAGCTGGAACTGAAACAAGAAGGAATGATGTATGCAACATCGGGAGGAGTACGTCTAAACAATCTAAACAACTTTACCAACCAACGGATCTACAGCCACCCGCACAACCATGAACAGCTGCAGTACCGTACGCAACCACCTGTGAAACGGATCAAGGCTGAGCTCTACTGAGTAGTTTGGCGGTTTCCCTTGTTGTCATCATTGTAGTGTTGAGTTGTTGAGAGAGAAAGCTCTTTGGGTGTGTTGTAGGTGGTTGTTGTTTTGTTTTATCTTTGCCTTTCTGTTTTTTGTTCTCTTTTTATACTTGTAGTGTGCATGTTTATATTTTTTCTTTTGTATGTGTGTAACCAACGACGACATACGCATAATGTTTCTGAGATAATTCTGTTATTTCCATAGCTTGTATGTATATCTGAAAACACAATCAAAAAACTTGGGTTGAGAAACGCCAACATGCGCCGGCTCCGCGGACCACTGGTCCTTTCGCAATGCTATTGCGTACTCCATAGGACCAGCTGTCCCCAGAGGCGGTTCTCAGTGGCGGAATTTCCTCTACCCAACCATGAAGTGGTCATTATCAGAAACATTCTTGCTGTTTTCCCCTGCTTGCGGCAGAATATTTTTTTTTTGCAGATCACATTATTTTTTTATAACAGTTGTCACATTCCGCAAAAATACGTCGCGAAAATGCTAGAGTGCTTGTAGGTGTGGAGTCTGATAGATTTGAGGGTTAATTTCGTGCGCTTGCGGTGCAGACAAGATTTGCGCGTTAAACATTACTCGCGCGCGAACCTTGCAAATTTGCGATCGATAAGAATTTTTTTCAAGTGCAAGTGTTATAAGTACCGCAGCGGAACCAAATCGATCGTCAAATTCACCAGACTATAGATATAGCCCAGCTTATCGTATTTTTACGTCATTTTAAACGCCAAATTTTTCCTCCTTTCTGTTCAACACCCGCAGCTATGCTTCTTGATTTGTCAATGTTGAACGTCCTCATGTTCATTTACTGTTGTTACCATTTGTTATGATTTTTCCCTCGCCCTACTCCCCTTTACCATTTGCGCGCCTCTTCCCCCTTGTTCTCTCAGTGTATTAGTCCCATCTGAGAAAAAAGAAAACTTATGGATAATTGTATTTTCTTTTCCGGGTTGTTTCACTTTTCTGTGTTTTCTATCATGTAGGTTTTGGTGGAATGGAGTAATTATAGACTTTCTATTTCTAAAATTTACATACATTCAACATACAATAAAATAGCCTATGCGATACTCGCCTGTGTCAAATTGAGAGAATTGTGTAAATAAAGCATATACAAAAAAAATCGTGGTTGTTGAGGAGAACTATAAGGCAAGGCGAACAAAAATAAATCTCGCGAATAAAATGCATGGAAAGAGGTATACAGGTACAATTACAGCTTATTTAGTATGTACAGTGCGGATTTCCCTGACTTCGCGGGTTCCTCCGGTGGTCACGTTGGTCGTGTCACGAGGGCCCATTTGTACTCCGCTGGAGTATCGCTGGGTGGTACGACGCTTGTTCATTAGCCGTCGAAGGAAGTAGAAGCAGAGGGGGAGGATGCACAAGAGTGGGAGGCCAATAAGCAGGAGCAACACCTGAAAATGTCAGACTGATTGGAACCAGTGCACTTGCAGAAACCGCGAAAATTTGCTAGGCAGAGCACAAACTGCGTCCAGCAGCGGCAGGGCGGCGCTCCGACCGCGCCGCCACAGGAGACGAAGCGTATGCGCTGCCTGCGCTCGAAAACATGTCTAAATCCTTACCCAGATTCGCATATGTGAGCAACACTCCTTATGTAAGTGTCCACAGCATGTGTAATAGGAGAAGAATGAGTCCTCTGAAATAGAAAAGCTTACGAATTTTTGCAGCAATTTTCTGTCTTCGAAGACATTCTATTAGTCGATCAATATCTTTACCTGGACACATCGTTCCAACTTGGTAGGTAGGGCACCAAAGCGCATCACGGTTATCACGACGCAATGTCGAATCTGTTCGTGTATCCTGGAAGACAAAATATAAATCAATTGTACAAATCCATGACGAAACCCTTGCTCGATTTAAGTCTTCTATTATTAGAAATATCACCATTCAAAAAAGTCCCTCGCGGGATCCCCAATTTTTTTATATCCCAATTTGCAGACTTATTTAGGTTATGAGTAAACTATGTTAAATTTTACAGTGAGAAATTGAACAAGAGCGAGAGATCTTGGATATAGAGGTTCTACACATCTATTCATTAGTGATACATGGCCTTTAGTGAAATTGCGAGACTTTTTTTTTCAAATGGATCAGTCAACATCTTTATTTTTCACTTCTTATCAGCTTCATTGAGTTATGATATCGTTGAGAAAAAAGTCATCGAATATCAAAAGACACACATTCAGTTGTTGAAAATTTCTCGTAAGTCTTGAGTGCAGTTCTTATCTGCACTGGGAATCTGTTTTGGATATCACTCTGTCTGATGCGATTTTCGCGGGCAGCTGAAATAATCTGCCATGTCTGCGGTCTTTCGTAAACAATTTGTACTATGGTCGAACCAAGCGTAATTATCAACTGTAACAAGAGAAAAAAGCAAGTAAAATTATTTATGCTAGTGAGGCGCGATCAGATTTTCAGTAACACTTATGCTCTATTCAAATCTATCTTGTGCAGAGCGAAGTCAGGGAACGCAGACAATGCATGCGGCGCGGTCGAGGTGGCGTTGCGTTTAGTATGCATTAGCTATCTTGCAGCACATCAACGCAGTTATGCATAGTCTGCGCCAATACTTTCGAATGAATTTGCTAACCTGCTCTATCGTTCTCGATTCAAAGACACCTTTATTTTGTCTACATATGGCTAACCCCAAACTCATAAAATATAAAAAACAATTAAATATATTAAAGATCACTCAGAAGTACCTTATAACCTTATCAATAACTGAATCTGCGCTCTCCCTCTTCTTTCACGATAATAAATTTTCTGATGTTCAGTGCAACGGTTGAATTGCACAACGGATATCGTATCTTGCGGAATTTCTGAGTTTTGAACTCTGACCAAGACCTCATATCCACCAGAACAATATCCTTTTCTGCAGAAAGGTTCAGCCAAAGACATCCGATGCTCTTTTTTTCTCTACAGATTCTTTGAAAACTGAAAAATTCCCAAATCCCTAGCTTGTGCACAATTTTGGCAACATTCCAATTTTAACTAGTTGTAAGGCGCAAAATAGAAAAACACATTATATTATTACACACTAGTCCCCGTATGTTATGAATCCCCCAAAACAACTTTCCAATTTTTTAGCTGCTGCAGATCTCTGGCCGCCATGTTTACCGCAGGTAACCAGTACTGGCTGACTCTGTTGTTGATGCACGTGATAAATAGCAATCTTGTGCAGGAGCTTCTAGTTTTTAAGAAGATGATAAATAAATAGATAAATACTTACTCTGGCAGCATACACTGTTTCAGTTGTCCGGATAGTTTGGGCAAGGGCGAGCATAACGACAGAGGAGATCGTCAGGGTAATAAGTGCTATTTGAGACATTTTGGCTAGGATTTCTGGAAGAAAGAACCAATAGGTTTAATCGTTGGGCATATCATATACGAAGGAAACACGAGCAAAGGGATGTATTATTGAGGCGGGATATGAAGGAAAAGAAAAGGAATATGGAAGAGGAGATAGATGGAGAGCCGCTGTCAAGTCAGTTCGTATCTATGCTTTGCTTTCCGAATGCATTGCTTACTCAGACATTTTTTGCACTAGAACGCACCAAAGATGAACGCAAATAGAAAACAGACACCATAACACGGATCTGGGCAGAAGAAGTTCTTCTCAAACACGAGAATAGGAAGTAGATGTAACTTGGAATATTCGGATTATTGGCTAGAACAGACTACTCGATTCACATAACAATTAGCGCTCGCTTCGCTGAAACACTTGCTATATATGCCTAGCTCTATAACGATATCACCTTGACTATTTGTTGATTACAACCGGCGCTGGTGGTAGTTCACAACAGCAGAGAGATGTGTAGTGTGCATAGCCGATGCCGTAAGACATAACTGACCAAACACCAACCCCCAGCTGTAACGGGGCACGGGGCAGCGAGAGGGAAACCCGCTCGTAAAATCCACTAACAATGCATCATTTGGAGAATTTGAAACGAGCTAGTGGTGGCGCTGTGCCCCAGACTGATGTTCTTGCGCGACGGCGTCGACGGCGGCGCAATCGACCTCGGTCTCCACCCGATGTTGTCAACAACGAGCGAATAGAGACACTATCAACAGATGTTTGAGGTTCACGATTATATAAATAGCAAAATGAAACGCCAGTTTCGCTTGTAATCCCCATACAGCCGCAGTGCACTTGGTGGTGATTGGGACTTCTGGCAGGGTATGGGAAGGAGGGAGAGGTGGTGCGACAGAGCTAGAAGGATATGTGGTTCCCTAGGTCTCTCTCACCCCCTAGCCGGGGATATTTGAGCCGTCTGGAAAACAATGGGGCAATAACGCACAGCATTCTCCTCTTCTATGAGGTTGTTGACCCTCATCTCAGAAAATATGCGATGCATGGGCGAAAAGAGCGTATGAGACATTCTGATACATATCTCCTTCCCTCACATGAGTGATTACAAAAAAATGCAGAAATAGGGGAAGCTCCGCCCACTTTATAGGTAAAGTAAGGGAAGCCCCGCCTATTCCGTAAGCCCAGAACTTTCATATTGTAAACTAAAGGAACATCAAAAGAAAATCAGTAAAGTGAGAGATGTGAAACGAAGCATAGGGTGTCGTCTCATCTCCGTCCGCGTCGCAAGACAGACGTTCCGCGCTGTTTGTTGGAGTTAGAATGATTTGTTTACGAGAACGAGAAAAGAAAAGTGATGCATGACGGAATAACAACTCCTACCGAACTTTGCTCCGCTTTAGTGTATTACTCCTTGGCGCCAGAGTCACGCCATAAGAGTATAATCTTTGAATAGATGTGGTGTGTCTACCTATTCAGAGAAGTGAAGAAAGATTTATTGGCTGAGTTGGTCAGGAGGGCGACAGGGGAGAGAAGGGGAGCAGGAGGGGGTGGAGTGAAGGAAAAGGAATCGAATTGTGGTCTTGAATGTCTAGCAGCATCACCATGTGATTGGAACTCCTTCTTCCAATGTCTAGACCCCACCATCGCTTCCGCATATTATGGGGACCTGAGCATACTTCGCGCGATTACGGTCGCCGTGCAATTTGACAACGTTCCAAATGTTATGCTTCGTCGTAAAACCAGTCCGAGCGTTAATGAATAATAGGATACGTTAGTCCTACTAATGAAAGTTCTTCATGCTATATCTAACTTTCACGCGTGTTTCTAAAGACACCTGGCAAATCGCCATATCGCGTGAGACTAGGATTCCTTAGCGATGTGTGCATTTGCACATTTTTCAGGACGCTAGCAAGAAGCTGTAGGTTTCCCAGACTCAGAGCATACAATATTGACAATTCAAAGCTTCCACACACATATCTGAGCAAACGTAAGGAAGCTCGCGTGGGTCCTCAGCGAACTCATCCTATAAAAGAAAAGTGTAAGCACCCACATTACAAGGGGAGAACCTACTCGACTATACGAAGTTTTAGAGTTGAAAACATCTCATAATTAGTCAATGGTCTTTTCAAAGGTTTTCAAAGGTTCATCAACAAATTTTTTGGTAAAACCAATTTTTGATGTCCCACCTTTGGATTACCCCGGGCATGGTTGGTAAGTACTGGTTATACTGTGGCCGTATTCATCAACGAACAACCCAATGGGTTCCGGAACCCATTTAGTGCTTTTGATGAATATCGATTCTACCCTGGAGTAGATTCGATATTCATCTAAAGCACTAAACTGGGTTCGGGAACCCACTGGGTTGTTCGTTGATGAATACGGCCACTGGTATTTTCGGGATTCGAACTCACGCCGAGGGGTCACTTGAAGGCAGCGGTTTGGGAAAATTGCGACTGTGAACTTTCCACACCTCCTTGGCCTTTGGAAACGCTGAGTACAGGGCTGTCAAACTTAAAAAGTCAAAAAGTGCTTTTCATGGCGTTTTCATGCCTTGGAGATTGATGGAGGGGCTGGACGAGCAATTACCGCCAACTGAGTCGTGATTGGCTGCCTAAGCTGATGAGCCAATTGCCGTGAATGGGTAAGTTTTGGTCTCCTGCAGCCAGTCGCTGTTTTTGGCGGGGAGCTCTCCTCCAACCCCCTTAGCAACCTCCAAGGCCAGAAAACGCAAAAAAAAACGCTTTTTGACCAAGCTTCCCGCACTCAGCGGGTTAGAAGGCCACTGCCTTTAACCAAAGATTTTGACCCCAGCTTGGAAAGATTATTTGCTGTTCAGTCGGGCTGTATTTACTCATTCTAGTGGGTTTTTTGATGCGTACAGTAACAGGTGGTGAAAATGAATATCCCAACTAATTTTAAGCACAAATGGATTCACTAGCGATGGAAGCCATTTCTGCTTCACGTCTGCTCCACGTGGTGAAGTACTCTGAACATCGAAGGACGATTTGAAGTCGAGGACTTCCGCGTAAACATGAAGGAATTATGTGATTAAAGTGATGTTTGAGACTTGCTCGAGAGTGGAACTACTCTACTAACGAACGCCTCTACAAAAATGTCGAGTATGAACGGCGGGTGGGGGCGCAACTGTTGCGAATGGGCCAACGCGAATGTTTTTAACAATAGCAGCAGTGAGAATAACGATCGTTGTTTTGAGGGGAGGGAGACACGGTGCAGACTGCATTTGATCGCTGCTAATTTTGCTCGCCGAAATCGATGCGAGAAATTGTAGCGGAAATGAATGTAGTCATTAGCGCAGATTATTTTGCTCTACATACTTCCAAGAAAGCGAAAGTTCCATCTCATTTACGGGGACTTGTTTTACTATTCAGCTATTATAGAAGTAGGTTCGTTCGCGGAAAATAACCTTGAAGGTTGCTTGTTGTTGAGAGAAACGGAGATCTTTGGTCGATGACCATTGAGATGTGTTGAGACTTAGGAATAGATCTAAAATGTGTGTTCGAAGGGAGAAACACCCCTTTAGTAGTCCCTACTGACTATAATTACAATATAGCCTTGTAGTATAATTCTCCGTATACATAGTGTGGTAAAGGGTACATAGATTTCACGTTGCAAACCACCTATCGCTCTTTGTTACCGTAGTACGGTAGTAACATCCAGTATGCAGAGCAATTGTAAATCAGTGCTGTTTCGAAAAAAATCCCTTTGAAATCTGAGAAGAAGTACCAGGCGCGTAAATGCGCTGATTTCACTAATTGAATTTTACTGGTTTCAAAACTTGAATTCTATGATCAGTAACACTGAAGAAAACGAGGTTTCGGTATATCTTATCCCTACCATATACTATAAACCTTAAGAGGTCAGTGAATCGCTTTTCTACTGTAAAAGTCAATGCTAGCTATACACACCGGTATTAAAAAGGTGCAAGAGAAATAAAACAATGCATACCTATTTTTGGGAAATCGTTTGTACTTTGCTAACTATACGTATAATTGCGTGTAAAATGACCAGAACGCAGAAAATTGAAAAATTAGCTTTCTAAGGCCTTGGCCGTACCTCATGCGATTCATTCGCCGCTCTGGCAATACTATAATTTCCTTAACTCATCGTGCGCGCATTGTAAATGTGCAGAGGATAGGGCATTTTATCAATCTACAAAACTTATGGAGACTAGGCATTTACAGTCCACCGGTGTCGGATTTGAAGACATCTGGCAAATTGCCAGATCACACTGGAATCGCGTGAGGTATGGCAGGGCCTAAGGGCAGTTTCCAGCCCGATTTCTATAAGTGTAAAATTTGTGAAGGCCAATATATCGGCACCGCAGGACCACACAACCCACTGGCAATGACGGGATTTTGCATAATTTTTTTCAGCACTCCCCTAATTCTTCGCTACCGTCTAAGAAATTGTCTCGACTAACAAAAGTGTTGGTATGGGAACCAAAGAGTATGGTACTATTCAGGAACTGTCCTAAATGCGATTCTCGAAAAAATGTGGAGTTAAAAAGAAATATTTTCATAAGGTGCCGCTGGTTATTGACAGTTGCTGCCGTATATGGGCTGACCATTAAACTCTAACGAACCCATAAGCACTTGGAACCTCAAATAAACCTTAACTTTGTTTGATTTAAATTGATCCTACTAATGATCTTGGGCGCAAAGTGCAAAAAAACCGCATGGACCCTCGACTACCTGCGCTGTTTCCTGACCAAATAAGAGCAATTAGGAATGCTAGTCAACCAAAAACACTACCTTACTGCTTACTGCTGCAGTTTGGTCAGGTGTGCTGTGCAGCGGTGATTTGATTAGAAAAACACGTTATTTTCATTGTCGGCACATCATGTCACCAATGCGGGGGGGGGGGGAACTGCCTTGTTTGCGTTGTGGGCTTGTTTGTTACACTCTCTTAGCCCAAGCGAAAGTGTAGTGACACACCACATGACATGCAGTGCGAAAACACTAGCGCGGTTGGGGTTGGGGTATTGAGTCTAGATGGGAAAGATTAGGGATTTCCAATGATGATTTGCGATTTCCAGTGTAGATATCCCTCTCTGCAGCAGTGCTTTCAATCTGCATTTGCGGATGTTTTTTTTTCGAAGGACCGCTTTGTTGTTTTGTAAGTGAGCCAAGCAAGTCACGAGGTGTTGTTGTTGTCTACACTGGGATCACGAATCGATCCCACCACATGCCAGCTGTGCCTTCCGCCGCATAAAATTGGTTGTGTACCACAACCCCGAAAATTATGGGAGACTGATGTGAATTGCGGGTTGCAAATGAGTGACTGTGCCGAAATCTTAACACTTCATCCAGGTGTTCTGATTGATCACCAAAATCCAATTTGCTAGTGAACAGGACACATTCAAACAGGCTAAAATATCCAGAAAGCTGTGCTGTGAAGTTTTGCACCTTATAAGCGAGCGCACTGCGCTAGAGAACGAAGAAAATGAATAAACGCAGACGTGGGTCCTCTCGCCACATGGTGCGAATATTTGCGAAAAACGTGCGTCATCCCGCTGTCTCTCCAAGCTGAAATGGACTATATATCACTGCGAATCATGAGTCAATGAATGTTTTGGCTCCTGTTCCAAAATACTCAAGGAAAGGTTCCGTAGTTGCTTGCAAAAAATATGCCATATGTCTTTTGATGATGTTTTTTTTATTTTTATATCTTTGCAGGTAGAGGTAAATTTGAAGTTTTGAAAGTTTGCGGAAATACAGCGATGTCCTAAAAAATTGCGGGCGTGCGTATCATGCAATCACTATAAGACCTGTTTGTGCATAGATCAGAGGGTTTGTTTTCGGCTTTAACCAATAAAAGCACATAACAATGTGGTTTCGGCTATGATGCGATGTTGACATTAGCGAAACTATTGGGAAGGCAGTGTTTGGACCCAAGATGTTCGATCCTAGTCATTTGCCCTTTCCCAAGTCTTAGCGTTTTGCAGGACCCAAACAATGCTTGAATATTGCTCTTTCCAAGTCTTGGTACTTAAGCTTTCGCAACCTGTGGAAAGTGGATTTTTGGCCGGATGATGTTGGTATAGCCGACTCCATGGTTTGTCTTTTCCTGAAAGGATAGCAAAACACGTTAGGCCCCGGGCAGACTTCACGCGATTTGATCGTTGCGACTGAGTCGCGACGAGACAACTGTTACAACATGCCGATCAACTTGCATTCGGTTGTGATACTTTTCCAGCCCGACATTTTTGAATGTGAAATGAAAATGAATGGAAATCTTGGCGATTGGATCGCGACGATTACGCGTGAAGTCTGACCGGGGCCTTATGCGGACAAGCCTGATGTGTGCTTTTTGGAAGCTATTCACACAACTTCGGCTTTGTGTAGGCACTGGTCTTAAAGGCAGTGTCTCAAAAACTCGATTTTGAGATTTTGTGCTTACCCGGGCCTATTCGCTACGCTGAATCCGAAAATACGCAATGCAGAGCGCGAAAACGGCGTACTGGGCTCTAACGCAGGAGTGAAATCAGAAGTGGGCGGGGTCTTCCCCGCTGTGAATTTCGCGGTCCCGGCTTCTGAAGCGATTTTCTCAACTCTGCTAGCCGTCTGAGATCTCCACAGGCCAGGTGCAAATGCATGACTTGAAATCGGGACCGAGAAGATCGCTCGGGAAGCTTGGAGCGTGAATCCGCAGTGGGGAAGACCCGCCCACTTCTGATTTCCCTCCTGCGCTAGCGTTCTTTTTCGCCGTTTTCGCGCTTTCTAATGAGGATTTTCGGATTCAGCATAGCGAATAGGACCGGGTAAGCACAAAACCTCAAAATCGACTTTGCGAAACGGATCCGCAAAATGGACCTTTCTCGGATTTCGGTAGAGTTCGGCATTTAACCCCCCCCCCTCCCAAGCAAATAGCACAAACCTCACCTGCCAGTTCTTGCGCTAAGTCCTGAGAAGTGCGCTTCAAACCTCCAGCGATCCCGCCCACGCAATGGAACGGGCGCGGACGGGCGATATTGAAGATCATTTTCCAGGACTTAGCGTATGAACTGGCAGGTGGGATTTGGGCTACAGTGTTATTGGGGGATCAACTACCTATCCACCAAAATCCGAAAAGGGTCCATTGCCGATCCCTGCCTTTAACGCACTATCCGAGCAGAACGGCTACAAATAAGATGGCCAGTGCTGCCCAGTGGGGCTTTTCGTTCTGCCTGCCTTACCTCCCATTCACTTCAAGCTTACGAGGCAAATGTTAGCCTGCTGCCCTTCTAAGGGGTGACCAGAGGAAGTAGCCAAAATGAACACAGTTAAAAATATAGTACTCCCTTAGAGAATTTGTCCAACAGTCATGTGATCTAACGCTACAGAGACGTCACCCCCATAGTACACCAGTAGCTCTGTTATAAGTCACTGTGGAAGGTATGAAGGTGATGCATAGCTCCATAAAAGGAATTAACAAAAGCTGTTTGCTACACACCCAGTCTAGAAAATTCTCTAATCCGATAGATAATCTCATTAGCATAAGTCAGAAGATGTTTGTAAGCTGCAAAAGCTTCAGCGTGGTTCATTTTTTAGTTCTCCATTGCTGAAGCTATGTCGAGTCAGCCGCTAACGCTCAAAAGGATCGAAGAAATCGGTCAGATTTGGAAGCAAAGGATGGCTGTTCACAACAACGCCGTACTTCAGTTGCCCCAAGGCCTGAGGACAAGCAGTACACAGAAGACGAGTTGCGCGAGTGTGAAGAGATCCTTATCGAGTTCGCAAAGAAGCTTGCCAAGGAAGAAAACATTGCTGGTAGGAAGTGTTCCGCTATGCGAATGAAAGCGATTTGCCAAAGAAGTTTTTTTTTAGATCTGAGAAAGTTGCTCGTGATTACTCGTCCATTCTATGATGTTGTTGGTAAGGCTAAGGCCAGCAAACTTGTCCGAGCGTTAGTGGAGTGCTGCCTAACAGTACATCAAGAAAACAATGAGAAGGTGCGAAGGACGAGTCTTCTCGCGCCAGGAAGCAGTCCTTCTATATATCATTTCTAGGTTACTCTGGTGCAAGAATGTATAGAGTGGGCCACTCATAACAGTCGACTCTTCTTGCGCCGAACGTTACAAGCTCGTCTAATGCGACTCTATAATGATATAGGACGACATGTCGAAGCGCAGAAACTTGGTTTGTCCACGGATTCTCTTAGGACTATAAACGAATTGAATCTTAGCTGGACCGTTGGTATCCGAACTGAAGAAATTGGAAGATAGAGAGTTGATAATGGAAGTGACTTTGGAAGAAAGTAAAAGCGCGTTTGCTCTTAAGAACTTTGCCAAGGTGAAGAATCGCATTTTGTTCTCAAAACCTGAGGATTGTGGCTTCAAACATAGTGATTGCCTGTGAAAGGATGCGATGTCCTTTCCTCGTAGGGATTACGGTAGCACACGAAGGTGCCACAGTGATACGGTAGCGAAACGCTTACGAGTTGCAGTGCATTGTCTTCAATCGTCCAGGTTTTTCCTCGCTAATTCTTAGCTAAAACCGTCGTCGACTAGGGGGAAACGAATACGCGGTTCGGCATTCCTGGACTAATGATCCCCACAAGTATGCATCCGCATGTGCAGAAGGACCAGTAGTCCACAAATGGCTATTGTTAGTACTTTTTCTTCCTCATCTCCCGTCTACTGGGTTACATGCACAATCATTTCTATTAGGCATGCCCACACCTCCACAGCCAATTTCTGGTGATGCCATGAAGTGGTACTTCCGCACAAATTTTAACTCCTCTAGTAATTGCACTGTTTCCTGAACATTAAAACCTCAACGTCCAAAAGCGGCGAAGAGTGAAAGCTCAGTATGAAAAGGGGAAGTATCTTTGAACCTCTAGCTTATGTCACAGTGAGTCCTACTGTAGCGCCGAGGGCGAATAGCAGTGAGTGCATATGGACTGCGGAGAGGCAGATAGAACGAAACCTTATGCAAATCATTCGAGAGACTGGGGTGTAATGTTTGGGACCAGTTGCTAAGAAAAATATATTTGCTGAAATAATGACATTTTTCCCCTCTAAGAATGTTTTCATGCTGAAGCAATTTTTAGTTCGTGCCGTACCTCAGTGCGCATAAACCTAAACTCTGTCGACCATATCTAGCAGTTCAGGCCAAGACAGCGCTCGTTCTCGCCAGAACCAATGCAAACGCAGGAGCCTATGTTTCCACACAGATGCAGGTACCATAAAGACAAAAAGAATAATGGATGCTGACAGTGATGTCCATTCCAGGCCGCTCTCGATCTCCAATCCGGGATACTCTATTCTGCAGATGAGAAGGACTTCAAAACCGCGTACTCGTACTGTTATGAAGCACTTGAAGGCTATTTACTAACCGAAAAAAGTAAAGCTGTTAAAGCACTTAAATACATGTGTCTCTGTAAGGTAATGGTGACATTTACTTTGATAGTGGGATAGCAAGATGTTCTCTTTCCAGATAATGTTAAATGAAGCGGATTCAATTCCTTTACTGCTATCGACAAAGGTGAGCCCATGTGATAGTAGTACGGTGGTCGTACGGTAGCCGACTTGTTTCGGCCAATGACGATTGTCTCAGTGTTTGACCATTATACTGTTTCTCTGCACCCTCATTCAATCTTTACATCTGTCTTCTTTTCTCCTCCTCCCTTTCTCTCCCCCCTTCCTTCTTCTGTCTACTCTTCCTCGCTCCCATCTCCGCCGTCTCAGTCTTCTCTCAATCCTTCACTCTCCTTCACGCTGGAAATTTCTTCTCCAAATCACATCTTTCACTAACTTAATGTCTCAAGTAACGCAGGAACCAGTTGCTATCACTAATATTGCTGTAGCAGATATCAGAATAACCTGTTATATGAGTCTTATAGGTTTTGCAACCTGTCCAAGGGAGGGAGGTGGATGCGATGAAATGTATGGCAGAAGCGTTCAAGGAAAGGAGCTTGAGTAAATTCAATAAGGTAACAAATTATCACACTGATAAAGGTAGTATCTCTTCAAAATTTCGCTCTCCAGTTTTTCACCTTTTCGGAGGCTTCTTGCTATGCTGAACCTACATCTGTCCTTTCCGCGCATGAAATTGGCGAAAATGAGCTTTCTTCATAGCTTTTTCCTGTCCGCGTTCGCTGGAAAATGCCGGTAAATGGGCTAGTTCCAGAACGAGGGGACGGAGTCCGAAAGATTTCTGAAGTGGACAGGCTTCCCAGACGCGCTTTTTTGCCCAGACTTCACTTATAGGTTAGTTGGAGAGTCTCCTATTGCAACGCTGTAAGATCCCCGTACCCATCACTTTGGCGGGACGGTGCCTGTAAGGGATGGCCATCTGGTGTAGTAACAGCAGAAATGAAGTGGATTGCTTTACCCCTTTGAGACGTACGCACTACTTAATGACATCACCCTGAGCTAGAATAACTAAAAAGTCGAGTTGTCAATTTGAAACATTTTCCAAACTCTGTGCAAGGCGAAGAAGGCCAAGTGCTAATATGTTTTTCTCTTTGTTGTTTTTCATCGCTGAAGGAGAACTGAAGGAGGATCGCTCAGCCGAATAGAAGCGCAAATGTGTAGTAGCTACAATTATCATCAATGACTTGCTTGGAACCCCATCAAAAGAAGTTGATATAGAGTCATCATTTTTAGTGCCTCAAAGAATATCATGTCGAGCTGATGAACGATCCAGTAGTCTCTGCACACTCAAGACAACTCCGTGACAGTATGCTAGAGAAGGTAGCTAGGTATATGCAGATTGGCAGAAGACAGAGTTAGCAGTTTTTAGGAGATTTCCCGCGTAATCGAGCCGTACTCAGAGATTGACTTGCATCACATACAGCAGTGCGTTGGTCTAACCGCGAAGCAGATTGAACGAGCTGTCTGTACGATGTTACTGGACAAGAAATTTTATGGTTCGTGCACAAATGAGGTCGTGAACCTTCAATAAGTAACTCAAGCTGTTCCAGGCGTGATCGATCAGCATAACGGCACCGTACATGTCTACCAAACTCCTCATAAGGACAAAACCTATCAGAAATCCGTGGAACTGATTCGTGCACTCTCCAAGGTATCATTAGCACTTGCATAATTTCTCTTTGTAGCAATATCTTTGTTTAGACTGTTGACAATATCTACAGTCGTGCTGGCACACTTTTGAAATAAAAATGAAATCGCAAATGATTTCACTTATAATAAATCTTGTGATATATACGTAGCATGCAGCAACAATAACAGTCATTTATCTGCAAAATCATAAAACTATGGAATAGTAATTTCATCACTAAAACGCGGAATGCAGAGATTAGAAAGATGTTGAGATAATGTATAAGCAATAAGGTCAAATATTTGACAAATATCTCGAGACTCGTTATCAACGTGAAATGCTGAGAAAGGCACATACACTGAAATTTCCTTTGCACGAATTCGGTCTAAAATAGTTGATCACATATAGAGAAAGCTGGTGAGCGGAATAAACGAAAAATTTGATATGGGACTGAGAACTAAGTGACTAAAAACTATCTCAAGGCAGGGAGACCAGTTTTGAGGTGAAAGTTATCTGCAACCGATTACACACTGCATACTATGGAGCAGATCAAAGACAATGTCCAAGTATAGCTGAGTTATGTGAAAATCAACCGTGAGGCTTCAGCCTAAGCCACGCTCAAGCGGGGGCTCATTTGCTGTAAGGTGACCGATGAACTTCAGATTCTCAGCAAAAGCATTTCTACACAAGGACATTGGATGGTCCGCTCGGAAAAATTACGGTCTAGGTAGTACTTGGACAGTACCTTTATGAGGACTAGATGATATGCTAGGTTAATGTGTGGACAGATATTCTACATTAATTTAGATACAACAAGCATAGCTTGGTCAAGATAAAATTAAGCCGTCTAGAAACGACCGAACAATCGAGAGTGTTTTGAAATCTAAAATTAGTGTTTGACGGAAATATGACTAGGTAGTAGTCAGATTTTGACGTAAATTATCAAAATTATTTACAGCAACGCTACAAAGAAAGTCATTTGTTGGTGCGCAATTGAAACCTTATGTTAAAAACTGTCAGACCATTGGTAGAACAGTGATGAATGAGGGTTCGCAAGACATATAGATGTTCATACGATCATACTGGTACCTTGACTGGACTAATCTTCTCAATCCTCCTCCCCTGTTAGACGTCTGGTGCTCCTTTGAAGTCCTTCACTCATAGATATTCCTCTAGTCATGTGTCTCGACAATAACGCCTTTTCTTCTTCCTTTTGAGCCTGCTCGAACTTTTTCTCTGCTTCGCTCGGAATCTCAAAACGACCATGACTACCCTGAAAACAGCATCGATTAGTAGCATACTCAACAGAAGGAAAAAGTTTTACCTGTTTGCTTCTCTGATAAAATATGGTTCCTAAGGTGCAAACGACAAAAAACGCTATACCCACAATGCAGATGGCTATAGTATACAAGCGTTCCGGAGTACGTCGACGCTGCAAAGTAGACAAATAATTCAAATTTAGTGGGGAATCTAGAGTGATACTTTTTTGAGAACTTTTCCATCACTTCCGAGAAGAAGCTCCTTCTCCTTTGCTTCATTTAGACTAAGCAATTGACATCCGTGAGCATTTGCAGTGTTGCGGAAATAAGGGCATCCCTGAAAAAAAGAGGAATAGGTAGGATAAGCAAACGATTGAGTGCGTACAATAGAAGGGCAAAAATAGGCATCCTGCGAAAGAATCGCAGAAGATAGATTATAATTCTTTCCTGCTATCAAGCGATTCCATAGCCATTTGGTAGCATAATTGTGTCCTTAACAAAACTAGAATTATTTCATGCATCTGAGAAAAAATCAGAACCCCTACCTCTTCTGTTCAGCAACGGTTTGCCAGCAATAAAAAGTCCGTGTGGATATCGCGAAGTGATAGTCAATTCGGGTATTGCCAGAATGCCGAACGTCGAAGGCTGTAAAAAGAACGTAAAGTATCTATATGCATCACGCAGAAGACATGATATGAGATACATTTTTTGGGTGCTTCTCAAATTTTTGCGGGCCCATAACCCCAATCTAGGCCAATTTAAACTTTTGAAAAATTCTAAAAAATTATTGCAATTGTTTCAAGAATCAAAGAGCCATTTGCACATTCTTATAACCCATGCAAGTGAATTGCAAAAATTTCGCGACCCATTCTCGGGCGGGGGCACCCCCCCCCCCTCGGTTCGCCAATGCAAGAGATGTGTCACCTGTGCGGTGCGCTTGCCAAGCAGCGAACTCGGAAAACTCTGTTCAAAGAAGTTGGTCACAAACTCTGAATGGGCTTTTATCGACATGCTCTTGTAGCTCTTCGAAAGCTCTCTTCCAATCTGCATTCAGTTGCTCCATGAACGCATTCGTGGCATCCCGTAAACACTCGCATCGAGATCTGAACAAAAAATGGAAAAATGATAGAAAGCAAAACTATGTGACTCACTTCAACAGATTTCCTTGAAGTTTAGTAGGGAAAGACACATGTATTGGTCCTAGGAGCACTATGAATGCACGAGGAAGATGAGCTTGGAGGATATCTATGGCCTCCACAAGTGCATCGATATTTGGTGGGGTGCATCTAGAGCATACCTGAATGTATAATGTAGAACAGCGTGTGTGCAGAAGAAAAATATGCGAGCGTTGCCCAAGAAAAAATGTTTACCTCTTCTGTCCCAATAGTGACGATAACCATGACCCAATGCTGGGTGTAGTCAACTTCCACCAGATTTCTGAGACGACGAACGAGTTCCTTCGCCTGAAAACGTATCGGAGTGACTCTGACGTCAACAATCGTCCAAAGTACTCGAATGTGCGAGAAGAGCTTGCCTTCAAAAAATACCTGTTCTGGCATTTTGTCTGTAGTTGCACCACTCTCTGCAACGCTAAGCTGGGTTTCTGGAAGTTGATCCCTGGTGCCCATACCATGAGAGACTCCAATCAAATGGTTGTTGAACTCACGAAGAATGTCTGTAACTGTGATGGTAAAGAAACATTTGCCTTCTTCGGAAAAAAACTCACTTGGTATAGTAACCAGACCATCTATGGTAGCATCGCCACCACTTGGAAATGCGGCACCTCGAAATTCTATTGTTGTTTTTGGCCACAAACCCATTCCCGTCTGAAATCATATTTATACAATACAAATCGACTACAAGCACTGCACAACATCAACGTAGCACAACATAGCCAGGCAAGGTTTTCTAGATCATAACCGAACAAAAAATAGGTTGCATAGGAAAAGATAACGACGTTAAAGGCAGTGTCCGGGCAAAAACTCGATTTTGAGATTTTGTGCTTATACGGGCCTATTCGCCATGCTGAATCCGAAAATCCACATTGGAAAGCGCGAAAACGGCGAAAAAGGGCCCTAACACAGGAGGGAAATCAGCAGGTGGGCGGGGCTTTCCCCAGTGCGATTTCATGCTCCCGGCTCCCAAAGCGATTTTCTCGATTCCGCTAGCCGTCGTAACATCGCTACCGGTCAAGAGCGAATGATTGACTTGAAACCGGAAGCGAGAAGGTCGCTCCGGAAGCCGGGAACGTGAATTCGCAGTGGGGAGGGCCCCGCCCACCTGCTCATTTCCCTCCTGCGTTAGAGCCGTTTTTCGCCATTTTCGCGCTCTACAATGTGCATTTTCGGATTCAGCGTAGCGAATAGGCCCAAGTAAGCACAAAATCTCAAAATCGAGTTTTTGCCCGGACACTGCCTTTAAAGCCTGTCGACAATCACGGAATCATTCCTCAATAAGCATTAGCAATAAACGCATTGCTAATAATAACTGTAGAACCTACTAGCGAGGTAATGCTGACGACAATGCTTGAAAACCATCAATAACTTGGTTGGAATGGATCGGAACAAGAAAATTCACAATCGGTCACGAAATAGATGAAAGTCGAAAAAAAGCAATACGTACCGCTAAGGCATCTCCCATAGAAGCTATGATGGCTATGTCCTCCGGACTGAGATCACCGATAGATGTGCCCGTTTTAAGATCGCTTTTGATTTTAGGACATGCGAATGTTTTCCTGCAAGCAATCATTATATTGGAAAATGCAAGAATGTTCACAAACATTGATTACTCCGCTTGGGATTATGAATCACCCTCTCATGTAATGATAAAAATATTGCAAAAGTCTCAACGTAGTAAGCTGAAACCTGTCACATCCTTTGCACAATAGCATTAGTTCATAATATCAGTTTGGCTATGTTTTGGAAAAACGAGGAAAATTTCGTAGTGGGCTCTCAGGAATTATAGCTAAAATCAAATCTCGGATTTTGCTGAGGAGACCTTGCACATGGATTCGACGTGTTGATAATGACCACACCGCATGCTGGGCCTTTGTGGGTAGTGTACGTCAAGTGTTCAAGATCTCAGAATTTGCAGACCTTTGTATGGGGACGTGAAGGGGAGAAGGAGGCTGGTAAGCGAACCATCCCAGAGAGGAAATAAGGAAATAGCGTTTTCAACATATCCTCTGCGAATTCACTGTATCAAATCTACACGAAAGATATTTTAGGAAGCGGACTGTGTAAAGTTTACCATACGTAATGCGTCTGCGTTAGTTTCGTTTTACAAAAGATTCTATCGAGACAGCGGTGTACATATCGAATTCACAATGGCAGTATTTATGATGGATATTCTCAGAATAATGTGCAAGGTACTCACCGATTATTGAAAGCGCTGTTTATGACAACAACCGGAGCCAATCGCTGCTGATCGGGTTTTACCTGCTTAAGTTTATCTCGGTCTTCACCAGCAAATAATCCACGATCGGTATTCCTGAAAACGGCACCCGATTCAATTTTTGTAAAAAACATTAGTCAACATGGAAGAGATTTAGATAGCAAAGGGTATAGGTAAGAAGATATCATGCAAACATAAGTAGCATTCACAGATACCTAGCATCTTTTTGCGACTTATTGCTAAACTGTTCATCCGAAATTGATTCCCTGTAAGAAAACTTAGATGATTACGATTTTTTTTGTGATGTGAGGCGTATAAAGCGTGAAAGTATATGTATGAAAAAAAAACAGTAAGTTCATACAGACAAAGCGAAAACCCACATCTCTTCGCTAATAACGCTGTCGCCGCCATCCATTTCTGAATCACGGCGAGTTTCGTGTCGAGTGCCGTTGTGATGCTCCTCGTAATCATAGTCAGTATTTTGTTCGCCAAGATATGAACCTGAAAAATATGTATAAATGCAAAGGCGGGCTTGGTGCTGATGAAGGGAAAGCGATAGTTGAGGGATGGAGCTGGAAGGCGCCAAATCGAGGGATTGAAATTTTATTGCTATATAATGGTAGTGCACCTAACTAAGCTGTGGCCCAAGTCTCGCTGCAAAATATAAATTCTGAAGCAGAAAACCGCTTTAGAGCCTAGAAGCTGCACGTTGGTTCCGCTCATCAACATGGATGGTCTGAAAATAAAAAGCCCAAAATCGGGCATGAGTGTATTGAGTCCTCAAAAATCCGCCCTTCATCGTGTTTAACAGACTTTCGATATTTCTATCTACCCTAAAGCCCAATTTCAAACTTTATATCTTCAGACCACCCTCTTGATGGACGGAGCCGATGTGGCGCTTCTACCTTCTGAAGCGGATCTCGCTTCGGAATTCATCTTTTGCAGCGATACTTGGGTGATGGTTTGGTTAGGTGCCCTTCTACTATATGACATCAAAATCTTACTGTCCTCAATGTGGGTGGATCGTAAAGTAGTCTGACAGGTTTTATCTTTTCACGTGCCTGTCCGTCCAAAACGACTCACTGAACTGCGCAGACTGAATCGAAATACGGAAGCACCTGATTCTTTCAATTTCGCGAGGACGCCATTGTAAAGGTACTACAGGCCATTCAACGCACGCAGGGACTGTACGTTGTTGTCGACTGAGATACTTGTTTTTATGAGAAACACAGACGACAGTGGGATGAACGTTGTTCTGGGAAGCTCCGATAATTTACGCAATGACTCTGCCTGACACATCGGCGATAATTTTTGATTCAACTGATTTGGCGGCTAGAAGGCGGGACTTCGTAACCTGATTAAGGCCGGTCGTGCTCTGCGTTTCTCCCGCGCGCCTGCTCTCCATTAGCCCGGCTTCCAGCCGCCAAGCCATTTGAATCAAAGGGTATCTATGCTGGGCATCCTAGAGGTCCAAATGTCTTCCGACAACCGTCTCGAAAACTTGCAACTGACTGCCTCCTAGCTTTAGCAAGCCAAACCGTTCCATTCCGGTCCAGAAGAAAAGGACGACAGCCAATAGTCTCCACCTTCGCAGGCAGCTGCTATATACAAGCTGCAGCTAAGGCGTATTGAGTTGCAGATGTCCTCGTAGGACATCCTTCCCCACCTAGTCCCCAAATCAATGAGCAACTATAACCAGCCTCAAACAGCCGCTGTTGAGACGCACTTTTCATATTATATTTGTTGCTGAACAACTTTTGAGAAAACGCTTGATTATTGATTTTGGCCCCCATACTGCACGATTTGTCTATGCCAATGTCAGGAATTACTCACCTCGAACAAGCAGATCAGCAGCAATCGGTGGGTCGACAATCGCAAGAACAGCTTGCTGAGCAACAGAGACCGCAGAAAACACTATGATGCAGGTAAGAAGAAGTGGGAATTTCTTCAGCGCATCACCGAAATACACCATAACGACCGCACATCAACTAAAACACTTTTTATAATCTCTACACGGGTTCTCTCATGCAGGACATGAAATGGATGATGATCTGAACAGAACCGAAATAGAAGGGCGATATAGCTTTTTTGAACTCCGACAATATGAGGAACACTTCTCAATAACAGCCTATTGTCTCTATTATCTCTATGAACTGAACGGCAGCGTGAATTTTATGTGGCCGTACTGACACAAAGTGCGAGCTGATTTACGACAGAGCCTGTGCGAGCATTTGACGTGGAAGAGATCCAGATGCGGTTGAAAAAAGCGCCCATGAATTAGCAATTTTCAACAGCTGATCACTTTTTAAATAGGCGATGCATTCAATGCAAGCCAAGGACTGAAAATCACGGATTTTGCGGAAAATTTATTTAGCGGGGGGGGGGAGGGGAGTTCGAAACTGATCACAGAGATAACATCCATTTTGCATGGTAGGGCTTCTTGATGGGTTACGGTAGGCATACGGTATGGGCTACCCACCGCACATTGCGCGCGATCGCATGTCGCGAAGCCTCAGTAGGGTCTGGGCTGAATAAAGGTCGCGGCATTTTGTCAGGGAAATAGACTTCAGCTATGTCACTGCTTAAGGACGGGGAAGGTTATACTCGATGAGCCACTATATCGCAGGTCCTCGCAATTCCGGAGCGCTTTTTTCGCTTTCGATGGTTTGCCTCCGCATTGAGCACTTTATCGGGAATGAAAGGGACTGAACTCTGTATAATACCAGACTTTCACTCTCCTTCCCCATATCTGATCCCGAGTGGACGGTCAAAGGCCGCAGTTTCTTCGGCTGTCACCAGGACAGAACTTCACTTCATTGCCGCACGAGTCTTGGCAAAATTCCAAACCAAGTAGTTGAAATACAAATTGCTGAGAGTGAGTGTTCATGCTGCGCGTTCAAATGCACACTGACGTTGGAAATCTAACGTCTAACATGTATGCGCTATAGGAGTAATACCATTTTGATCTTGCATCTCTGGTTGACATACATACTGCCTATTGATTATGTGAATGGATGGGGGCTAAATGCCAAGATAAACAAAAACAGCCGAAGCGAAGCCTTGAAATTTCATGCTCAAAGCGAACTGGCAAAATGCCCGGATATTTCTATCACTGCGCGTCGGCTCCTCGGTACGCGTGATACGCAGTCGCAATTTTGGTGCCGAAATGCTCTAAAATTCCTTAATTTTGCTTTTCACCATGAGTTTCTTTGGTTTTGGAAGGTTCCTACAATTTTTTTTTGTTTGCGCTATAGTCTACTCTTAGATACAGTTGATTTGTTGGTTAAAACAAAAGCTCCCTGTTGTACACTTTCCAGATTGATTAACAACGTATGGATTTGCAGATCTTCTGTTATGAAGCTGTTTCTCTCACAAATACATTCTGAATGTACAGTTCCCGGATCTATTTTAAAATTCCATATCTGTGTCACATTTGACCTCATATATTTGAAAACGCCTCTCGATATTATTACTGTATTAGCGTGTGAATCTTATCTTAATCTTTTGGTTAGGTAACCTTTCGGCGTCAATCATGGCTGACCAGGATGAGGCACATCTCGCTGAGTTGAAGAAAAAGAGAACCTTCCGCAAGTTCACCTACCGAGGAGTTGATCTCGAACAGCTCTTGGACATGTCCCGGTATGCATATGTTCAGTTATTTCGAATCGGTTTTTTGCGATCAAATTTCTTGTCGAAAGTTCACATTATATTGTAATAACCTTGCAGATTTAGAAGTTATGTGTTGGGCGGCTTTGAACTTTTTTGCCACTTATATTTTTTTATCCGACATTAGGACGGCAGAGTGCCTTATTGATGGCAGTCTGTGGTTATACATTGGGAGCGGCTCCCATAAATCTCATGGTATATTTACAAGCAGCTTGGGCCCTCTTTTGACAAAATTGTTGTACGCTTGGGCAGAGCAGAACCATATGCATTGATATGCTCGTCTTTTGAGTTCCATCTGGGTTAGGGATCGGTCAGAGTTTGCCAGTGTTGCCGGTGTTGAAAGTGTTGAGTGGAGATCATCAGTCTAGCAGTTTCATTCTTTCTGGAACGATCTCACCGGCTGGTGAATACGTTGGAAATGGAATTGGGGAATGAGAAATGAAACTGAAATGAGATGGGGAAGATTTTCGCATGCAAAAGATCCTCAAACAAACTTTCTGGAAAGTGGACGGCTTGTCTGGAATAGGTTATCTCCAATATTTGAAAATGCTGCAGACCTCACTTAGGTCCTTTACTCACTAATCGCAAGCTCGGCAGGATTCGAACTAAAACACATTACTACTCAGACGTCAGCTTTCTCAAATATTGGAGATTGCCTATTCCAGACAAGCCGTCCACTTTCCAGAAAGTTTGTTTGAGGATCTTTTGCATGCGAGAATCTTCCCCATCTCATTTCAATTTCATTTCTCATTCCTCAATTCCATTTCCAACGTATTCACCAGCCGGTGAGATCGTTCCAGAAAGAATGAAACTGCTAGACTGATGATCTCCATTCAACACTTTCAACACCGGCAACACTTTCAACACTTTCAACACCGGCAACACTTTCAACACTTTCAACACTGGCAACACTTTCAACACTTTCAACACCGGCAACACTGGCAAACTCTGACCGATCCCTTAGAATGAAATTATGGGAAAAGCGCGGAAACCCTTACTCAGAGCTAGCTCCCTTGTCCTACAATAGAGATCTATGTTAAATGTGCTCGTATATTTAGATTTTTTGTTGCAATACAAGAAAATCAGACATAGCTTTAAATGATAATATCGGTATACATATCAATATACTTAAAATTTGAAAAAAAAAGACCTTTATTTTTTCTTCACTATTGGGAGTCTAACTAAATTTTTTGGGTGCTTGGCGGAAAGTATGTTTAAACTATTATTTTTCAAAATCGAATTAAATCACTTCTCATTTTAAATCCATTTTCTCGTTCTCGATGACCGGCTACTAATTTTCCTTGAGCTGTTGATGTTACGGTCCATCTATTGTACACGCGCATTAACAAAATCTACGTCACTTTGAATATCACAAAAACACATTGTTTTTTTTTCACAGTACTAACCTCTACAAAGAAGCATAATTGCTACTTCTTGATTAAATGTTTCCAACTTTTAGTTGCTGTGCATTCAGATGAGAGAATACCAAATAACGTTCTGTCCATCACTTCATCATTACAGGGAGCAATTTGCTAAGATGCTTCCATGCCGCATGCGCAGACGCCTTGCTCGTGGATTGAAGAGAAAGCACTTGAATCTGATCTCTCGACTCCAAAAAGCCAAAAAGGCCGCTAATGTCCTTGAAAAGCCAGCAACGGTCAAGACACATCTTCGTGATATGGTCATTCTGCCCGAAATGGTTGGATCAGTCATCGGTATCTACAATGGAAAGGTTTTTAACCAGGTTTGTGCCTTTTCCTTTGTCTATATGTCTTTTTGTGTTGTAAATAGATTTGTATGCAGACTGAGATCAAGCCTGAGATGATCGGATATTATCTTGGAGAATTCGCTATCACGTACAAGCCTGTGAAGCACGGTAGACCAGGTATCGGAGCTACCCATTCTTCAAGGTTCATCCCTCTCAAGTAAATTGTTATTGTTTTCTGATAAATTTGTTGTTTCTATTCCAACACTTGTTTTCGTAATTTCTTTCAACCGTGTTGAGTATACTTGGGGAAATTCGAAATTTTTTTTGAATATTCGCATATCAAATATATTCGAAAATAAAAAATTTCGAATATTCGAATATCGAATAATATTCGGAAATCGAAATTCTCGAATATTCGACTATCGAATATTATTCAAAAATTGAAAATTTCGAATATTCGACTCTCGAATATTATTCGAAAATCGGAAATTTCGAATATTCGACTATCGAATATTATTCGAAAATGAGAATTTCGAATCGAATAATATTCGAATATCGAATATCATTCGTTATTCGAATTTCGAATATTATTCGGTTCTCGAATGTTATTCGATTTTTGAATATCATTCGATTTCCGAATACTGATCGAATAATTTACGTCATTGAGACTGCCTATGAAAGGCCAACACTAAGAATAAATTGTTTCATGTAAGTGCTAAAGAATGGATACATTCTTATGTTACAATTTACGATGGAAAAACGGTTTAGTCGTGACGTGAAGAGACTTAGGAACCTAAAAGCTACTCCTGTGACGGTTATGAAGAGATTTTTACTTCAGAGAAGATTATATAACCTCACTGAGAGTTGTGATTGGATATACAGCGGTCCCAACACTATGTAGATCTGTAGGCTGGCATCAACTTAGAGTATGGGGCGATTTATCAATCGCTTTTCAATGTTGTAAAATTACCGTAAGATTGAAGCGGGTTTCAGAACATTAAGAGCAATTTTCCCGAGAAAAAGAATCAAATGGGCCGAAGGTCTTGCTTCACATTTCTGAAGACATTTACTTTATGTAGAATTTGCACTCAATGCTTTTTTCAAAAGTTACGCCAGGTATCCTGTGTGCCCAGAAAAGTTCCCATGTGAACCAGCGTGCGTACGTAGTGCGACGCTGCTTTTCGCTCTTTTTGACACGTTTCTCCTGAGATTTCAACGGAACTGCCCGAGGTTAACACGTCTAAAATAGCGAAAGGCACGAAATGACGTGGTACCTATGGGAATCTTGCTGGTTGACAAACGATACCGTAACAAGTGTTTTGCAACGCCTTTCAAAAATGTGATTGCCATTTGAAAAGCTTGAAAACTCGTGCGTATTAAAATCAGCATACGAAAAACACTGCTGCACAGATTTTTGACCTTTTTTGGGGACACTTTTTTTGGATGTCTTATTTTGCAGTTGGTCTATTAGCTGAAGTTTCCTACTGTGATAACACACAATAAGGGCAAAAGAATTTAAGAATATTAGCGATCAAACGGTGTGTAGATACTTTTAAGACATCCCGTATACGCCATGCATATCGAATTCTCGAGTTTGGTGCTTATCGAATTTTCGAATAGCCAATTCTTATCGAATTTCCGAATATTCGGTGCACAACGAATATTCGAATATTTGATGGACATCGAATGATCGAATGATTGACCCTCGAACATTCGACTATCGAATAATATTCGAAAGTGAAGATTTTCGAATATTCGACTTCCGAATAATATTCGAAAATGAAGATTTTCGAATATTCGACTATCGAATATATTTGCAAACTGAAAATTTCGAATATTCGACTTTCGAATTTTATTCGATATCTCAGATTTTCGAATATTCGACTTTTCGAATCATTCGCATTCGAATGATTTATTCGAATGATCGAATAATTATTCGATTCGGTCCCAAGTATAGTGTTGAGGTCTATAAATTATCAAACGGGCCTGTAATGTATTGATTGGAGTTAATCTTATGAGCATAATCGTTTGTTATCGCAAGGTTGCAAAATCGTTGCAAAAGCTTGAGCTGCATGTATAGCTTTCTGAAAAGATTGTGGCAATTGTACGGCAGCAGAGCACCTGATTTGTGCACTTTCCAAGAGATATAGCTGAGATGATGACCAATGGTTTCGCTTGGGTTGAATTGTGGATTTCGTCAGACACTCGCATGACAGTGAGATAATTTGGATTGATACTAGCAATTTCAATGAATAAGGAGGTTTGAAGAAAAGCAGAGTCTTGCACTTTTGTCCAGTTCCGTAGAATCAGCCTATTGCCCTAACGCTTCATAGCTTAATGCATTGCTAAACTCTTGTTTATTCATGCTGCAATGTCCCCAGCAACACAATCTGCTGACTCGTGAAAGTCAGCGTGAAACGACGAAGAAATTGAAAACAGTTGTGTTTATATGTTTCGAAGACTCTGCAGAGGGTCTATTATTGCTACCCTGAAGCTGACACCCATGGTACGTCACATGTTTTGTGCCGTGATAGAAGTAAGATTCAGGTCCGAAAAATCTGTTGCGTTTCTGAATAAACGCATCTAGTTTGAACTGCATAATGGCATGCCATCTCCCGGAGTGCTTGGAGATCTTGCGCAAACAGCTGAATATAGCTGTGGTCGTTTAGCTTCGCTTTGATAACAGACTCAGACTTCGCGCCTACACACCTGTGGCCGTATTCATCAACGAACCCAGTGGGTTCCGGAACCCATTGGGTTAGTGCTTTTGATGAATATCGATTCTACCCTGGAGTAGAATCGATAACAGCACTAAATGCACTAACCCAATGGGTTCCGGAACCCACTGAGTTCGTTGATGAATACGGCCACTGGAGTTGAGGTTTATGAATACTGCCAACTACTTTCTAAGGTTTAATTGCGTAGAATTGCTTCCGAAATTAGAAATACGCCTCAAAAGGTCGTGTTCTGATCATCCCATCCTTTCACCATCTCCGCATAGTGCAGCTCCGGCTTTCAAAAATATTTTCATGGTGGTAACAGCGTTCAGACAGATACTCGGCTACCATTACAGCTTCTACCCAGCAACCGCTAAAGCGAAGCGTGAAGAACGCGAAATTACGCATGAACATGTCCTTGGAAATGCTCAGCTTGTTCAAATTCTCCACAAGCATAGAAATTTCTTCATTTTGAGTCTTCGTAATAGTAAAGTGTCTCTAATCTACGCAAATGCGGGCTTTTTGCATGACACCTACAAAAAGGCTACTGCACGAAGACGTTCGCGAACGCGACGCGCGTATATCTCCACCATTGTAAATCTCGCGCCTCATGCGCTGTGCTGCTAAAAAAGCCACGTTTGCGCCCAAAGATATTGCGCCTCGTCATGCAGTAGCCTATAGCTTGCTGCACCTCGCACACCCTTCTACTTGCATAGGCAAAAGGACCGCAACGTACTGTTGCGTGCGACTGCGCTTCTGTATGGAAATGTCTGGACCGCAATACTCTTGCGCAAAACGGCCTTCACCGCAAAATGCCTCGCTCTGAACGGATTTGCCAACGATTGGCTGAGTGTCGCAAAACTAGATGTGTAGTACAAGTTGGGCTCTATTATGAAGCCGTGTGTGGGCGAAATTCGTACGTTTCGGTAATCAGATGCCAAATCCAAGTAAAACATACCATTGGGAATATGTAGCTACCCATCAAAGTAGGCATAATGTGAAAAAATCAGCCTAAAATGGCATTCGTAATAAATACAAAGTGGTTTATTCCTGTTCGGGAATAGGGTTGTAGATCAGTTGCGCAGGTTGCCATGTTAAAAAAGCACGAGGCAAGCCTGAGCAAGATTAGTCTCTGTCTTGAAAATGGCGACTATGACCATCTGATTCCGTACAGTGGATGATGATAATACTTTTAGTATTATGATAATACTATGATATCACTGTAATACTAATATATATGATAATACTAAAAGTATCCACTGTATGGATGATGATAATACTTTTAGGCCCGTATGCACGTACATCCCCGCGGGGAGGGGAGGGGATCTGAGAAGGGAAGCGTCATATCTCCCCAGTCTATGTATCTTTCTTCTTTTTTCTCTGTCTTTGTTTTGAAGGTTCCCATACACTGATACTTGCGCATAACGGATGCCAGGTTACTGCCATACAAGATTAGATATTCACTATTTCGTCTGATCCCCTGGGGATCCCCAGGGGATCACCTCACATTTTCAAAGTTATTTAGCTTTCTGAAAACTCGGTGAAAGTATTCTAAAATTGTACTGTGTATATACTACAGCACGCTAAACATATTTATGGTAGAAATGAGTGAAATCTCAAGACGTCAAAATCGTCGATGAACCGCTGCTCGCGAGCCAGGGATTATCGAAAAAATTAAAATCTTCGGATTCGATTTCTTATGTCGAAAACATGCTCAGCAGTATCGTAGTATATCTTCAGTACAATTTTGCAGCGTTTTCATTCATTTTTCAGGAAGATAAACGACTCTGAAATTGTGAGATGATCCCCTGGGAATCTCCAGGGGATCGGAAGAAATAGTAAATATTTAATCTTGTATAGCAGTAAACTGGCATCTATTATGCGCAGGTATAAGGGTATGAGAACCCTCATAAGCACGATAAAGAAGAAAGAAGAAAGATATCTAGAGCTGTGAGATATGGCGCTTCCCCTCTCAGATCCCCTCCCTTCCCCGCGGGGATGTACGTGCATACGGGCCTTAGTATTATCGACCTGTTGAATGGGATAAGATGTTTAGGCAAGTATCACGTGTTTCCCTTGAAATTTCATTCAGTTACATTGTTACATGGTCAACTCAATGATGAAAATAAAACAAAGGAAGCATGGGTATAACGATACTACTTTCCAGAAAGCTATATTACACGCTATAATCTATCGAGTTCCTCGTGCTCTAGCCGCTTCGAGCATCTCGTCTTGAAGCTGCTCCATGATACCCAGTCTTACATGGCTAACGCCCTGTCTGTCGAAACTACAAAAGAAGATCAAATCGAAGAATAGAAGAAAGTGTAGGATGATCTCCACTCACGCAAGCGTTGGCTTCTTCCAGTAATTATCACGAACTCTCTCCCAGTCCCATGGAGCAGTGGTTTTGCCTGAAAATCATAGATTGTGAACCTTGTCAATTTACACAAACTTCTCACTTCTGTCAATCCAGACTTCCATCTTCTCGAATGAATAGTATATAATATAGCAGAATAGGATGAACCATACACCAGTTAGCGCAAAGATAGGATACAGCTCGTAGGCATGACCAAGCTTGCGAACTAAGAACCTGAAAATCAAGTAAAAACACTATTTGGACACTCATAGTCTGCTTCAAAGTGAAAGTGGAAGGATTTGAGAACACATGTTATTTGCCGGCATCCTTCGAAATGTCCTATGACATACTGATCCTGTTCAAAACAAGATCAAGACATTTGTTTAGTATGGCAAGGTTGAGCTATCCTATACTAATGTCATAATACGATTTTAATGATTGATGTGCCAAGATAGCCTTAGAGACGAGTTTTATTAACCAAAAGTTTGCAATTTGGACAACATGTTATAAGAATATGTCCCTTCTTACTAGGAAGGTGATTTTGATCGGAGTGGCTTATCTAGACATTTTCGGTCCAATTCATGCCATGTTTCGAAATAGTCGTCTTCTCCATGTTCATTTATCCTATTGTGCTAATTTTTAAATTCGGTTCTCAACTTATCAACCGCAGTCGCTATAAGAACGCAATGCAGGTTTTTGAAATCTTGAAAAAACCTCATGTCAGCAGTAAATTTTGAAGGAGGCTATTTGGAATTTTTCGCAAGACCAAGCACCAGCCCACAGCGAAAAGAAGATACTGCAGCGATACAAAAGTCTTCCACAGAAATGCACAAATAATGTTTAGCCTTCGAACTCGCCCAGTCTTGAATTCACGTGTTCTTTCCTTGGTCTACCTGGGAGCAGAAAGCTTACTCTCAAAATCCATGTCATTTGATTTGCCAAAAGGGAACCCAGTAAAAGCCTGGGAAAAGATTTCGCCAAAAGCATTGCGCGCATTGTGAAAAATATTTGGAAGAGATTTGGAATAGAAGAGGTGCTTCTACCAAAGCTGGCGGATATCTCATAGGTGAACTAGGAGATCTCAAACAGATCTTTTGTCTGTCGGAAAAAAATCTTGCTTACATTAAATTTTAGGCGCTATTCCAGTATACCGACCCCAAAAATTAAAAATCTCGGATTTCGCTCAAACCCGGTATAGGGGGATTATTCGATTCGCTGATGCCAAATATCATATCGATTCCGTGCGATAGCGCCATTTTCCGGGGGTTACGGTGGGTATACGGTAGGGGGTCAAAATCACAAAATTGTCTGAATCTCGGCAAGAGGGGGTTATCCGACATGCTGAACACGAATATGATATCCATTCGTTACGGTAGCACCTCATTCCGGGGTTATGGTGGGTATACGGTAAGGGGTCAAAATCACGATATCCGCTGAAACTTTGTGTAGGGGGGTTGTTTGACATGCTGATCACGATTATGATGTTTATTAGTTATGATAGTGCCTCATTTCGACGTTACGTTGAGTATACATTACCAATACCACCTCTAGATCGAGATTCAGGGCTTGAAATCCCAGTCACACGTCGGAAATCTCCTCCCCCTGCCTTGCTTAGGCAAAAGTCGCCGCAGGGTATATCGCGCGCGGCGGTGGGTGTGGAAAGCAGTGAATTAGACCCTCCTACAGTATACCCACCGTAACCCCGGAATGAGGTGCTACCGTAACGAATGAATATCATATTCGTGTTCAGCATGTCAAATAACCCCCCTGCACCAAGATTCAGAGAATTTTGTGATTTTGACCTCCTACCGTATACCCACCGTAACACCCGGAAAATAGCGCTATCGCACAAAATCGATATGATATTCGGCATCAGCGGATCGAATAACCCCCCTATACCGAGTTTGAGCGAAATCCGAGATTTTTAATTTTTGGGGTCGGCATACTGGAATAGTACCAAATTTTATGCCACCCTGTACATACACAAAAGTGTTCTATTAGAGCGCTGGAAATCGTCGTAACTATTGATTTGATATCAAAGTGCATTTATTTTTCCGAAATAAAGAGACTTGAAATCAACGGTTTAATTCTCTACGAAACGATATGAGCTCTGAAAGGGCCATTTCGACTAAAACACTTTTTGACGTTAGGTGGGAAATCATAGAACAACATGTAACATGCTTGATTGAGAATCAAATATGTGTGACAGAGGAGACAGAAGCTGAGATGGAGCAGATATTTTCAGCACCCCTAACTCCTGAGACTTCTGCATGTTTCCTAGAATCTCCTTACTGTATCAAATTTCATACAGTTACGACTGTGCTATATGCAAAGGTTACTGCACCAATAGATCAGTTATGAATGTCATAAGTCATAAAAAACATGGTTCACTTAAAAGCTTGGGCACACTTTTGGGATACCAAAGAAGAATGTAAAACGGAATGATCTCTAAACTAGTTTAGGCATTCACAGATATGGTACAGTAAAGGTAAGTCATCAAACCTAAGGACTACTTATAGAATTTTCTTGCGCTGATTACAATTAGATGTCTGTCAGTTCTGCTCGACAAAATCTTTCCGCAAAGTTATATCCAACTAAAAGCTCTACAATGAAATTACTACAATCTCTATTCGCCCTTGTAAAGCATTCTAAGCGCCTCGTTAGACGTTCACCACTGCAAACTTGCGATCCCGGTTACTGTTACGAAATAACTGCATCATGTAAAATTTCATGCAGTTTTTATAAGCAAAAAAAATTTCTGACCACCGCAACCACCGATTTATTGTCATTACCTCATGGGTGTGTCTCCAAGCTTCTGTGGATTGCTATATCGTTTATCGCGGGAGATATCTCGTTCATATTTGAAATATCCTTGATCTGGATCCGCTTTTAATGACTGCTCTCCCTAAAATAGAATTCACATGTAAAATGAGATGTTCAGTCAAGGTTACTTTCCACAGACCAACATAAACCACAAGATCAACTTTGCAAAAAGGTTTACAAACCCGTAGCTTGAATCCGGATGCACTTCGTATAGCAATTATACGAATGAGACACTGGCGTGATATTAGTCGAGGTGTTAGTAAAGATAAGGACATCTGAAAACCGGTCATTTGAGTAAGCCGTAGTAAAACATCTGAACCAAGAGTGAAAGAAATCGCAGACCTTAAACATAAAAAATGAATGAATTTCGAAAAACTAACATAATTCAGAGAACAGCTATTACAAAGATCAGCGAATGTGTGAAAGTACAAATGCAAAAGTGCAATGCCATCGAAGACTTTTTTCCTTGCAGCGAACAAACGTCATTCTGCACTTTGTTCGCATTACACCTTTGAATCTGCGGCACAAAATGACATCCAGCCAGTAATAAAAAAGAAGCGATTCAGTTAACTCTTTCTTTCTCGTACAACTGAGACGTTCACTATCAAAACTTTCCAACCAACTTTCCGTCACAGGAACACGCAAGAAAAAATTGGACTGATTGATCGGATCAAAGGGAACACGGACGGTGCGTGCGCACACTTTCACAAGATTACGCCACACGTTGCGAATTTCAGCATCGTTAGTTTTGGAGCGAATCAACTCTCGCGATGAGATTGAGACAGTTGGCTGAACGAAAATCTTCTTCAATATATAATCACTTAGTCTAATAGTATTCGTTTGGCACTCTCTTTTTGAATGTGACCCATTCACTTTCGGACATAATGTGGATTAAGGCAGCGTCTCGGCAGAATGAACCTACCTCAGATTTTGACACAGTTGGATAGGAGGCCCTTCAAGTGAACCAAAACAGCAACTCCGCGCCGAAAATGTGAACTCTGCATACCAGGGGGGCAACCCAACCGCCGCTTCCCTTCCTCCTTTCGCTCCCCTAACACCTTGTTCGGACGAGTATGTTCTCCGCTAGAAAACGCGCCGTCACTCGTCGCTTCGTAGGGCAGAATTGTTCTAGCGCTCTCTACCTCCTTACTCTGCGTCTCTGACGGCAGAGAAAAACGGCTCACTCGGCTCGACCGTCTCTAGGGGGGTTTCAAAAGGCAGGGTTTTCCCATTTTCGCGCTAAGGGGAGTTCATGTCGTGATTCAGGGGGTCGGAATAGCCCCAAATTTGCCATAACTCAGTTGAAAATCCGCCGAGCCGCTGCCTTCAAGTGGTAGGCTACAAATGCGCTACAGTTTGATCTTCGGTAACAACGTGCAGAAAATTTCTTCTTTCGAAGGCGGTCAAGTGCGAAATTTCAAGGGTCAAAAAACAAAAATGAAGCCGCTCTCAGTCTGAATCGAGCACATCAAGCCGAAACTGCAGTGATGCATCAAATATAAGCGGTTCATAGCACGCAAAGACTGTCATGTTGGCATCTCCTTGATCGAGCGCTCTTTCGTTCCTCTTATCGTCTGCTGTCTCTCCTGTGCACCGACTATCTTCGTCGGACGCAACGGGGCCCAGTCGTTGCGTGTCATGAATTGACGATACCTCAAATTGTGCATTTTGTTAAGTTGATTGCATAAAGATTTTTATGCTGATTTTGACGCCAAAGGCAATTTGCGAAGTCATGGTGGATTTCGTTCCCAAAAGTGCTCCAAACCAACGTGTGCTCCCTGGGCGGTATTCAAACAAAGGTATGAATGGCACACTGCAAATATCTGCACTCAAAAGCTTTTTCAAGATCCTGGGGCGGTATGAATCAATCTCCCGTTTGAAAGCGGGCGATCATTCAATAGAAACCACTCAGACACTTTTTCCGACGGCCCGCGCGCTTTCATGAGCCTACCGTGCGAGCGGCGCGCCTAAATTTGTGGGCGTGGCATCGTTTCCGACGGGCGGCGCGCCATCGAAAACTGCCGTGCGAGCGGCGCGCCTTGCCTTCGACGGGCGGCGCGCCATCTTGAGTGACCGGCGAGCGGCGCGCCATCAACAAACATGTAAGAACAACGAACATATAACTTAACAAGACGCGTAAGCATCATTTTGAATTCGTTATTAGCCGTAGGAGGTTGCATTTGTTATCGCATTTTGGTTGCTTGTCCGTTTCGCCGGCTAATCGTCTCCATTCTTTGTAAGTTTTTTTCTGGTTCACATTTTACAGTCATTGTCATTCATGTGCTCCCTATTCCGTAGCATCTTAGCGTCCGTATTGCGTCCGCTATTCGGCTATTCGGGCCTCAAAATTTTTTGCCATGGATTTCGCTCAAACTTGGTCCAGAGGGGTTATCTGACATGCTGATCACGATTATCACCCTTTCTCCGCAGGAAAGCGCCTCCCTGGAGGGCTACGGTATGTATACGGTAGGGGGTCAAAATCATAGATTTGCCCGAAACTTGCCCCAAAGGGGTTATTCGGCCCGCTGATGCTAAATATCACATTGGTTTTGAACCGTAACGTCATTACGGTAGCTACACGTTAACGGGTGTGAAACATAGTTCTGCCTGAAACGGTTGTACGGCGATTCGGACGATCGTGAAGCTTTGCACACACCCACCGCCGTGCGCTACACACCCTGCCGCGGCTTTTGCCTAAGCAAAGCACAGGGGAAAGATACATTTGCCGATTTGTGATGTCGACCCCTACCATAACTATGCAGGGAGACGTTTTCGTGCGGAATGGTTTTTTGGTGCCATCACCAGAGTTGTTTGCTATGTTTTTTCCTGATGTTACAATATCTTGAAGATGTATCGTGCCGCGGTCAGTCTCAAGCGTAAATCTGGAGGACCACAAACGTATGCGAAGCCTAGACCTGTTTTTCCACCGTATCTCACTGGGTATGTTTGTTATCTGGTTTTATTACCTTTAGTAGTTTCGTTTTCAGTAAAGAGAATCCTTTTGTGGAAAATATTGTCGAAGGCGAAGGGGCACCCTCAGATATCCAGATGGAAGAAGTTCCACAAGGTTCATAGCTTTTGCTTTTTTTCCTCTCTGTCATGTTTCCTAGACTTTGTTTTTTCAGGTAACGTGTACGAAAGACGCGAGTTTCATGTTGAAACTCCTCTACGAGGAGTTCAGCCTCTTCCGTTGCCTAGATTACTTCATGAATGTGTTTAGAACGGAATCATGCACATTGACAGGGCAACCCGTCTAATTTTGTCGAAGATGCATCGCCAAGAGTTTAACGAAGCGGTCTACTACGTAAGTACGAGTACATTGATTTTGATAAAACATACAAATTTTTTCTAGGAGTTTATCAGATCCGATATCGTACTACGCGCTAAAGTCACTTACGACAGTTTGAATCGCATGGTAGGATTGGACATCCACTCGCTAATATTGCTAATCGCATGACAGTACGGCTGCACATTTTGGGATGTCATATATTCCGGTTTTTTTTTGCTCAATCAGGTCATTCTTACCGGTATCTAAAACTGCTTTCTCAGTATCAGTATGGCTGCTGTGCTTTACGTGTTTTCAACAGGGTGCTTAGCGTAAAAGGTATTGATGATATTATAGTTGTTGCCTGTTGTGTTCTGTTTTTTATTTTGTATTATGTCGTTCTGTAAGTCTTTGGATAATAAATCTGCCATCATCATACCTGTATACATGTTTGGCAATAAATCTGACGCTATGAGGTCGTATTTCAATGACAAAATGTGAAGTTTATCAAAGGATTGCTATCTGTGTCACAATACGGTCCTACAACGCTTTCGAAGGAGCGGGCGAGCGGCGCGCCTTCAGCGAGCGAGCCGCGTACCTTCATTCCACGGGCGGCGGGAGGCATGAGCGCTCGCACGCTCAAGGCGCGCGGGCCGTCGGAAAAAGTGTCTGAGCATACATCACGGGTCGGGCGCCCAACCCGGTCTGGCGATCATTTTCTCGCCCGCTTTCAAAACGTGAAATTGTTGCATACCACCCCTGGTTCCAAGCTGATTTACTAGAAAGAAAGTATAGTTCTATAATACAATCGTGACGACGAGTTTGACTGCGGTCTTTACGCCTACGGGAGCATAAAGCGCTCATACAAAAAGGTACCACCTCAACGCTCAGCTCAGTCACATCCAGTGTGCAAATGCTATCGTACGTAAGCAGAAATCATTCGAATAGCGATGAAAACCAAAAAATGCGGTTGTCGGAAGGTGCGTGTGTGTCGCGCGCGGTCGCGCCATCGTCACGACTTTTCAAATGTCCTATAATGTCGCAGTTGTGTGTTGTTTAGATGCGTTCTAGACCGTTCTTTAGTTGTTTTCCTGTGAGGTTTGGCATCTACAGTCTGCCCCAATCAGAATCAGGCGGAGCCGTTGGAGTGAATCGCGCGCTCGCAGCGCTAGGGGTTCGCGCCGCATATGCTCACTGTCAGAGAGAGCGAAGAGATTGAAGAGAAGGCAGACAAGCAGGCCGTAGGCGTGGCGCAAAACTATATACCAATGCGGACTCCCCATGCCATTTTTGGCCTGATTAGGATTGGGCAGACTGTACACAAGTTTGAACAGAAGAAAATAACGGAAAAAATTTGAAGTGACCAAATAATCGAGTCAGAGGATCTTTGCAAACTTCTACTCGCACTTATATGATGTCCGTGTGAAGCATTATTGAAGCTTGCATGAATAACAGACAAGACAAGAAAAGCAGTATCATCTATTCCACGACTAGGAGACGCGAGACCGCATGCAGACATTGTCTTAACAAGTTTGAGTTTGTTCTTCCCTGTTTCCAAAGAAAGGATAATCCCGGACGAGCTAAATGACAAGTATAAACCTGCTAAGTACACGATTGGGCTTGTTTAGACAATGTGTGCAATGCGGTCTCGCGTCTCCTAGTCGAAGAATGAATGATAGCAATAATTGGCTCTGCAGTAATGATAAGACTGTAGTATGAATACCTATTGAACCATGGGAAATATTCATTTACTTTTGACTGTGAGTGCTGACCGCTCGCACAAATGGCTCAGGTAAAGAACGTAAGATATTGCATTTTCAAGCATATCCTGATCGAGCAGTATGGCAGATCATTTGTTTAGTCCCTGGGCGTCATTTCTGCCATGCCTCAGGCCTATTGATACCCTTGGCTGTGTGTTACCTCATCCACCGGCATCGACCAAGCTTCGAACTTGTCAGAACTTTGTCCATTGTTCGCGGAAACGCCAAGATGTGCTACCTTTAGCTCCCTCTACATAAGCATCAAAACCTGTTCAGCTCAGCTGACTGCTAAAAAAAGGTACAGTGTACCAAATAGCTGTAGATGTGGAGCTCTAGGGTTATCCATGTGGGTAAAAGCCCTGCAATCGACACGATATGCACAATTGATTTTTTGTCTAGAAAGGGTAAAAGGTGGCCTGCACTCAACTGCGAATTTCAGGATGGCGACATCCAGCTATATAAGGCGCATGAGCGTATTCGCGCTCTTAGTAAGGAACTTTCCATGCAAGAAGATGCCGCAGTACGGGTAAGTTTGCAATACCAATGTGACGCATACCGATGCCAATCTAAACTCTTTATGAGCTATACTGTAGAGCACAATATTGTCGGACTTCAAAAAAAAAAATGCGCGCTAAAAAGTAGTCTCCGGTTGTCATCATTTTATAAGAAAACCGATGGAGAACCGGAAAGAAAGCACATGCATTCGGCTATAGGTGGCATATCTGGCCTTAGCCGGATCACCCAGTGATAGCAAGAGAGACCGTAGCAAATGCAGAATCGTGAGTAAGAATTGTGTCCAGTCTATTCGCATTCCCTGTCCTCCTTCATCTCTGTTCCCTATGCCTCTCTCCATTTCCGTCTCCGAGTCTCCTTGAAGGCAGTGTCTCACCAAAATTTGAATGCGGGATTTCTGCATATTACAAGTCTTTCCGACTCTGTCTGACACCTTACATAAGTTCAAATTCGCTCAATTTCTTCAAAACCCCTCTCTCTTAGGGCTGTGTCCGAACAAAACGTTGATTTTGAGATTCTGTGCATTGAGCCCGCTATGCTGGGTGGAGGACATTAGGTCGCCGAAAGAGGGCGGTCCCTGCGGTCATTTGCGACAAATACGCACCCTTGTACATACGCGGACATGCGTTCCTGCAGGGAATCCGCGCGGGACTCTTCCAAATTCGGCGACCTAATGTCCTCCACCCCTCTATGCTGGATCCGAAAATCCACATTTTAGAGCGCGAAAAGGGCAAGGGCTCTGACGAGGGAGGGTAATCACAGGTGAAGGGTCTTCCCCACTATGAAAGCATGGTCCCAGCTCTCGGTTATCTTCTCGGTTCCAATTTCACATCAAACGTTCGTAGTTAGTCGGTGGCGATGTCAGGGCAGGCTTATCCGTGTCTATTCGCTATGCTGAATCCGAAAATCCACATTGGAGAGCGCGAAAACGACGAAAAAGGGCACTAACACTGGAGGGAAATAGCAAGTGGGCGGGGTCTTCCCCATTGTGAATTCACGCTTCCAGCTTCCAGAGCAATTTTCTCGAATCCGGTAGCCGCTCTGACATCACTACCGATCAAGTGCAAACGAATGACTTGAAACCGGAATCAAAAAGATCGCCCCCAAAACTGGGAACGTGAATTCACCGTGGGGAAGATCCCGCCCACTTGCTGATTTCCCTCCAGTATTAGAGCCCTTTTTCGTCGTTTTCGCGCTCTCCAATGTGGATTTTCGGATTCAGCATAGCGAAGAGGCCCGGGTAAGCACAAAATCTCAAAGTCGAGTTTCTGCCCGGACACTACCTTTAGGCCCCGGACAGACTTCACGCGATTTGATCATCGCGACTGAATCGCGACGAGACAACTGTTACAACATCATTCCATGCCGATCAACTTGCATTTCGGTTGTGATACTTTTCCAGCCCGAAATTTTTGAATGTGAAATGAAAATGAATGGAAATGTCGGCGATTGAGTCGCGACGATCAAATCGCGTGAAGTCTGTCCGGGGCCTTAAGGGACCCGCGGAGGCAACTTGGACGAGATGTGTCTTCCTACTCTAGCCTGCGCCGCAGGTGCGACCATGTCAGCGAAAGGGATGTTGCCTAGAAGACGTGCCGAAACACGAAGGAGGAAGCCGGCGAGTGGGCCAGCGCGGGCAAAATCGCTTTTTATGGGTCATTTTGAGTGCAGTTTCCCCGGAGTAAGAGGCGGCGGATCGAACTGGACTTACAACTGAGTGTTAGGTAGATTCATGACCTATCCAGGGGCCCTCTAAATAAATTGTGGAGACCCGCCCGCATTACCATAGTTTTAGTGAGGCACTACCTCTAAGCGCTCTGTAACCCGTTGCGAATACAGTACAACAACCCTCATCTCATGTTTGGAATTATTTATTTTTCTCACAGCATTGAAATGAGCTTTACCGCTGTTTAACATAAAATTGTGCAGTTGTTTTGATAGCGATCAACAAAAGCCTATCCTTGGAAACTGCAACAAACAGATCAATCAATATAGTATCTCGGAAAATTCTCGCAGTTGCGATTTCGCCGTTCAAACCTTTAACACGTTTCGGACCGGTGCTGCACATGGTGCAGCACCCTGCTTTGAAGGATTTTCTTGACGTTTGCAGGAGGTTTTCTTTTAGTCCAAAGTTATCAAGTCAAAGGCCTAAGCTTCTACTTTTTACATGACTTTGTAGAGTTGTGCCGCCGATATTTGTTTAGGAGATATGAGCACAAATTGAACAACAGTTGCAACGAAGTGCGGTAACGCGAACGACGCGTGCGACGTCGCAACTTTCCTTTGCTTCAGTATCGAAGAGAAAAACTGCAGTTTCAATACTGATGTGTACCGTCCACAACATGGATATTTGGTTACTATTAGAAACTGAGTTCTTGTTCCTATCTTTTAGGAAAGCGCAGAACTCCTTCTCAGGTGAAAATTTAAACACTTCGAATTCACTCAGAATTTTGGGCGTGGAGGTTTTCTGACATGGTCATTACAGGTGTAGCACATAGTCTCCAAAATAAGGGGCTGCACGTCAGGAGGTACGCCAAGCCCCGCCGCGCAAGCCGCGTTCGAATCTTGGGGCCCACGAAACCCCCGCTGTTGAAGATTTCCCGCGGCAAAAACAGATACATGACTGGATGCCTTAAGTAACACTGCGTGTCGCCGACATGGCGACCTCTTCGGCAGGCTCCCGATAGAACTGTTTGCCCAGCTCCCCTGCTATAAAAGCAGGGGGCTGGGAGTGATAAGCATGTCTCTTTCGCATCCATCAATTTGCACCTGGTCCGGGTAAAAAGGACGTCATTGTTGTTATATTATTGCTATGTTCCCGAATAAATCCTTTTGTAAAAGTCTGAACCACCGTTTGGCACATTTTGGTGCATCGGTCAAAAAAAAATCCTTTTTTTTTGGTCGAGATTCTTTATTGAATCGAAAAAGTCTAGGCCATCATACCTAGCACAAGTCCAGCATTTCCCTGGCAATAAAGACTAGGACATCATATCTAGCAACAAGAAAGCCCAGGCTATCATACCTGGCAACACATACGCTACAATAAAGTAGGCTGTAAGTTAAAGCAAAAGCAAAGCACTTAAGCCGAAAAAAAAGCAAAAAGTGATAATGGCATTCACATTACACAAAAAACCAATAGCATACAGTGCTAAATCCTTGGGTACCTTGGTGGAAAAATACAGAGGTTACTCCGAAGGGGTCTCGACCAGCGGGAATGAGACGAAACAGCTCGATGAGCTTTACAATGCTGCAGACCTGATCAGCGGAGGAATTGAGCTCATCAGGGAGAGCAGAGACGCACTCCAGATCTTGGTAGACAAGCTGGATAAGCAATTCGACGACCTAAATGTAAAAGGTAATCGTAAAGAACTGTTAGCTGAAATCGAAGAAATCGACAAAGACACGCAATACAGCGAAAAAATCGCGGCTGCTAACGACACAATGTACGTGCTAAAAGCGCGATTGAACGAAACTCGCACGAAAGCGAAAAGACTTGCAAAGAAGCTGGATATGCCAGTACATACCGAAACGGTATCGACACCTAGCGATGCAGCAATGAAAGGTGAAATCAACGGAGAAGATAGAGAGTTCTCCGCCAATGCAGGGGCATGGTTATCCGAAGACCTATTGATAAATAGCGTCGTAGAGTCAGAAGACATGATGTGTCGAACTCTGAAACCAAAACAGCTCAAAATACCGAGGTTTTATGGCGACGAAGAGGAATTCGCCGAATACTGGGCCATTTTCAGCACCCTGGTACATGAGAACAAAGTCCTAAGCACAACAGAAAAAATGATGTTTCTCAAGGACAGCCTCAAGGGAAGGGCGGAAATTGCCGTGAAAGGAATAGAAATGGTACCAAAAAATTACCAGTGGATGATAGAAACACTGAAGAAAAAATACAGCAACAGGCCTGTAAATAGAGCCAGAGTCGTGCAAAAATTGGTCGACATGCGACCAGCAACAAATACTGCTGAAAGCTGCTCAGACACACATGACAAAATACGCATGTTGATAAACCAACTGGTCTCTGCCGGGCAAGACATCCGCAAGATGCAAGATGCTCTCTGGACAGAGAAAATTCTGGAAAAATTTCCATACAACATAGTGAAGAACGTGCTCACGTCAACGCAAGAACTGCAAGAAATCACAGTGGACGACATAATGGAAGCTCTAGACAAGCAAATTGAAGCAAAAAAATACGTGGATTCGCGTCTCAAACATTTCTCGAAAGGAGAACAACCACGAAAACGCCCAGATTATGCACACAGCGAGCGTAATTATGCAAACAACGAACGTACTATACCAAAAAATACGAACACGTGTGTATTTTGCAAGATGTCCAATCATACGGCATCGAATTGCAGAACGGTAACCGACACTTTTGCAAGACGAAACGTGGTCAAAGAAGAACATCTTTGTTGGAAATGCTTCTCCAACGAACACAGTGCTGGTGCCTGCATGAAACCAAACTGTTCTCGATGTGGGCGACTACATGATGTCTCCTTGTGCCCATCCTCAAACGCTCCAAACATGAACGAGCGAAATTCGAATCAAGCAACAAACAGTCGCAACTACAACCATCAAAGGTCAGCATATCGCACTGATAGACATGATACAAGAGCAAATAGACCACAATGGCGCAATAATCATGGACGCGACTTCCAAGATAGGACAAACCAAAGACAAGTCGTAAACAACACATGTGTTGATACAGGAAACGACAATGCACAAGCGGTCAGAAACAAAGAACAATTTGTGCTTATGACCGCGGAAGGCAATCTGTGGAACCACAGGACAAATCAGTATGAAAAAGTCCTGTTTTTCTTCGACACAGGAGCTCAAAAAACACTCATAAAAGAGAGCACTGCTGAAGAATTTTGTCTACCAACCCAGAACACGGAACACTGCACGATGTCCGGCATTGGTGGACATACCGAACACTTCAAAAGCAAGATCGTAACGCTGAAAGTCAGCACAGCCTATGGCAAAGAGATGATACTCACCGGGCAAACAAAACCGGTCATAACCAACGGTTTCTCCTCGGTTCGGCTGTCCGATGAAGACAAAAATTTCCTGCAAACAAAAGAAATGGTCGTCTGCAATCCGCGAGTGCGCGGTGAACTTCAAAACCCGCAGATCCTCATCGGTATAGACTATTTTCTCGCGATGGTACCTCCAAGCGCAGAAAATATACAAATGCCGTCAGGATTGAACATTACAAAAACAGTGTTTGGACCGAGTATACACGGCAAAGGGACGATTCCACCATCGCTAACTATCACCAACACTGCAATCCACGCGCTAACTCTCATAAATGACGTCAAAGAGTCAGAAATGCTCCAGAAAATGTTTGAACTCGAAGGACTAGGAATTTCCTCAGAAGAGTTGCAAAAAGATGAGAGCACATTCACATATTTCCAGACCTACTCAAAGAAACTTTCGTTTCAAGACGGTGTTGTGATCGCTCCGCTACCACTCAAAGACAGCATAGTTGATCTAAGCGATAACTATGCAGTGGCTTACAGAAGACTACTAGCACTTTGGCAGCTTCTGCAAAACAACGAAAACCAACGAAATTGGTACAAAACTGTTCTTGACAAATACATACAGGACAACGTAATAGAGGTAGCCAAAGATGATATTTCTGATAAAGCCGGCACCTATTATATGCCACACTCAGGCGTTTGGCGGCCAAACAAAGCAGTACCTTTACGTATAGTGTTTGACGCGTCCTCCAAGCGAAAAACACAATTTTCGCTAAACGACGTGGTCTACACCGGCGAGTCCTTCGTGAACAAAATACATGATGTACTAACGTCGAGTCGATCGGACCACATCATTCTGCTTTGCGACATTGAAGCCGCTTTCACGCAAATCCGACTAAGTAGCGCTCACAAAGACTTATGCAGATTCTTATGGGTGCGAGACACTGAAAAAGCGCCAACAAAAGACAATATCGTCGAATATCGATTTACGAGGCTCCCGTTCGGGCTGACAGCTTCTCCAAGCATCCTGAACATGGTGATTCTCGCCTTTTTGGACTGGAAGAACACACCCCTAGCAAGAGAGATTGCATCGCATCTGTATGTGGACAACATCCTCCTAAAAGCTAATTCCGTTCAAGAAGCGCTGACAAAATACCATGAATCAAAAGCGCTATTTGCTGAAATCGGAATGAACTTACGCGAGTACATTTCCAACTCGCAGCTTGTCAACCAAGCCATCCCTGAAAAAGACCGTTTACACGGTAAGGTCATAAAATTTCTGGGAGTGAATTACGACACTGAGGAGGACACTTACGCTTTGAGGGTAGACATCCCGTCCAAAGAAAAGCTCACAAAACGCGATATCGTCAGTCAGATAAACTCAGTGTACGATCCAATTGGCATGGCGGGACCACTTCTGGTGAAACTGAAATCTCTAATGCGAGAAATATATAGCACAGGATTAGACTGGAAAGAAACCATTCCTAGCCATTTCGCTTCGAAATGGAATGAGGAGTGTCAGCAGATAAACAATTGTGATTTAACTCTGCGACGTGCTCTACCGACTCCCGATAAAGGCCGATACACCCTTTGGATATTTTCGGACGCAAGCAAAATAGCTATCGCGTCATGCGCCTATCTGCAGTGCATTGAGACTAGAAAAGTCTCCCAGCTAATAAGCGGCAAAACTCGTCTTACGCCCAAGAAAATGGTGCAAACTATACCGCGATTGGAGCTACTCAGCATACTCATAGCCACCAGACTAGCAAAGAGCATTGTAAATACAATGGGTAACGCTATCGAGGACATAAAAATAGCCAACGACAGCGAAATCGCTCTCGCTTGGATTCCAAGCATGAGAAAACTACCGCCGTTTGTCGCGAGTCAAAGAGATCGCATTTTGCGACTCAAGCATCATTTTGAATGCAAGAACAAACAGATACAGTTCTACCACGTCTCCACAAACGACAATCCAGCAGACGCTGGAACCCGCGGATTATCAGCATCAGCGATGAAAAATCATGCCTGGATAAAAGGCCCACAATGGTTAGCGCAAAGCCCTGAAAAGTGGTCGTTACGCGTAATTACCGAGGCAAATGCCGAATACGAACAGAGCGATGACGACGAAATTCAAGCGCATCCTACCGTACCGCGACCCACCAGTAGCGAGGAAATACAGTCATTTATTGATTTGCAACGCTTTTCAAACTACAACAAGCTACTGAGAACAGTAGCCATAATCGGTAAAACTTCAAAAAAATGGGTACAGAAGTGCAACTTCAACTCCGAAAAGTTCCCTATTATCAAAAACTTTGGCACGGAACAGCACATTACAGCGGAAGATATAATGCTCAGCGAAAGACTGATAATCACCTCAGTACATCATTCTATATCTGTAGAAGAACTGCAGAAGCGCTTCCGCAATGTGAAAATTGTTAGAGATGAATTTGGAATAATACGCCACGAGTCGCGCCTACAAAATGCGATATTGCCTCACGATACAAAATCGCCAATATTCCTCCCCAATCCGTCCGAACTGACTCGATTGATTTTGGTAAACATACACCAGAAGAACGCGCACTGTGGAAATGACCACATTTTAGCGCTAGCACGACAGCGATACTGGATACCTCAACCCATGAAAGCGATAAAAAAGTATCTCAGAAGCTGCAGCACGTGTAAAAGGTGCCATGGGCTGCCATTCGGCGCTCCAGAGATGCCATCGCTACCCAAAGATAGAGTGCGAATTTCCAAGCCATTCCAAAAGATTGGTTGCGATTTTTTGGGTCCTATCGACTCGCAAAACAACGAGAAGATGTATGTATGCCTGTACACATGCTTAACTACAAGGGCCATACACTTAGAAGCTGTGGAGAACCTATCAACAGGCGCATTTCTAAACAGCTTTGTAAGGTTTGTCTCACGACGTGGGGTACCACAACTCGTAAGGACAGACTGTGGCACTAATTTCAAGCTCGGCCAAAAAATCATAGAAAGGTTGTTTGAAAAAGACGACCGAAGCGAAAATTCTGTAATGAATTACAGTGCTACTGAAGGTATAACTTGGATATTCAATCCACCAGGTGCACCCTGGATGGGTGGTGTCTGGGAAAGGTTAGTCGGCTCAGTCAAGCGCTGTTTCACTAAAGCTGTTGGCCGCCGTAAAGTTTCCTTCACTGAGTTAAGCACCGTTATGGCAAGAATTGAAGCCATCATAAACACTCGCCCACTCACTAAGTTGAGCTCGAGTGATATAACGGATATACCTTTGCGACCCATAGACTTCCTACAGGGTAACGTAAAATATGCACTCCCAAACACTAACGTGCGAGCTAATGATCCTGATTATGATCCTGAACTTATTCAGACCGCTTTACAAGCGCATGAAGCAATGGAGTTCTCAGAAGCTACTGCAGCTAAATTCTGGGACCGTTGGAATGTAGAGTACTTGACACTCCTACGCGAAAGTCAAAAGAGGCACTTAAATCAACCGCGGCACACGCCTCACCACCCACGAATCGGCGAAATTGTGCTTATTGAACAAGAGCTGATACCCCGTGGTAACTGGGCCTATGGAAAGATAACAGAACTAGTCAAAAGTGCAGACGGTCTGGTAAGGTCAGCCAAAATCCTTACACCAAATCATAAAATTCTACAAAGGCCTTTGAATAAGTTGTTCCCTCTAGAAATCAGATGTACTGAAGAGGCAAACACGGAAGAAACAGCAACGCTGCCAGAAAATATTCAGCAGGATGAACATCCAGCTCAGCAAACACGCGTACAAAACGACACACATGCTGACACTGGCGAAAATCTCTTGCAAGCGCAGTCTAGTAGACGAAATCCGCCTCGAGAATCTAAGACTCGCGCCTACGAAGTCATTCAAAACTTTGAACGAAGTTTGCAAAGCACTTCATCCCCTCATATCTCTCGGGTCATGACAATGATTAGCCTCATCCTCCTATACAGCTGCAATAGTGTGGAAGCCTTGACGAAGGGACATATGGAGTGCGCAGAAGGAATACTTAACATTAGAGAGCTTGCAGAACCATTCAGGTTATGTGTGGGTAATACATGCAAAGTATTCGAAAATAACACTCAAGCCATGTCAATAAGCATCCCTCCCGCGAAAACCAAGGGGCAATTTCATGTGAACCTCACAACCCCGACATTCTCGGTCACTCAGTTATGTAAATCTCATACATATTGCGATCACTCAAGCAGGATCATGACAACATCTTTACTGGGAAACCCACATTGCTGGCCAACAGGTGCAGTGATAACTACTGCACTATCCATGTACGCCCTAGTAACAATCTTGATGATGGTGTTATGGGTGTTGAAACGGCTGCTCACACGAAGGCCAGACGTAGCATCTAATCCCGAGACAAACATCGTACTTGATAGCTTCAATCCCAACCCATTAGGCCTATCCAACACGATAGTCATAGTGATAGCCCTATCATCCATGATTAGCACAGCAGCATCATGCCAACATGGGTACATGCGACATACGGTCGAAGTAACTTGTCAAAACCAAGACTGTTCCTATGAATACAATGAGGAAATACTCTTTAATCGCCTACAGAAGCGTCTTTGTATCAGCATAAGGCACGCAAATCAAACCTTGGGTACAATCAAGATCACGAAAAAGGAGATGATTATGAAATGTTCCAAGCTGTCCCATTTCTATACGCGAGATACCACACATCGAATATTCTACACCACTAGGTGTGATGGAGCAGGGTCATGTTTCAATAATAACTGCAACACCCTCATGCACAATGAAACAATCCCAGAACTAGAATTCGCTTCGGAATTTCCAGGCTATTCCGCCTGCGAGCACACATGCGGCGGGTTGCTCTGCGGGTGCTTTCTTATCACACCGGCATGCTCCTATATTCGCGTAGCGCACATCCCAAAAGATGATAAAATCTACGATGTCATCAGCTGCGTGGAATGGACCCCGGAAATCAGCTTTGAGTTGGACATGAATATTGGGGGCATAGCATTAAGCAAAGATATAGTATTACAACCCTATCTACCGCAGCAGCTTGAGCAGATCACTCTTAATATCATCTCGCTAAGCAAGCCGCACTCCATGCTGATGGATAAGCGTTTCGCAATTGCTGAACATGAAGCTCTAAGTATCCCAAACGGCTACGAGTTACCGGTGGAATGCGAAACGCGGCAGCAAGCAACTGACAATTTCGAAAAGTGCACAAACCGCATGATCTGCGCTTGCGCAACGTATAAAGTACCAAAAAATTGCCAGTGCTCAACAAAATCGCTAAGCGATGTACGGCAGGATGAAGCTAATATATTGCCAATCCATACAGCAAGCCTACAAATCGCAAAAACGGAGAATGAAATCCTCGCAACAAGTCAGGATGGTGAGGTCACACTAACAATCCAATCCAAGCTAATGGTTGACATCAATCAGTATAGAGTCGACTCACCCTGCTCGATCATATTTGGTTCCATAACCGGTTGCTATGAATGTCAGAGTGGAGCGGAAGTCGTCAGCTACTGCAAGGCGTCTAGACCATCATCTGTAACGGTGCTATGTAACGATCACTCATTCACGATCAATTGCGACGAATCCAATCGTACAACTACAACAATACTACATTTCGAGAGAGCAACTGTAGAGCAAAAATGCTATGCAATCTGCGCTCAGAAAAGAATTGAGATCGATTTAGATGGTACATTACACTACCACGCCAGACATCTACAGAGTACTCTATTCGAAATGCAATCAGAGAGTAGAAACTGGATAAATGCGATCAGCGATGTGCATATCCCAGACATGCAACCACTTCTCAAAACGTTAAAAAAAGAATGGAAGGTAGCCGCAGCGGCCATAGCAGCGATGTCACTTGCAATAGGAATGACATATTTGTGCGGACCAGCAGCACTAATTATGCTAATCAAGGTCGCCTGGGCCATGCTTGAAATTGCCTGGGGCATCGCCTCTGCGATAGTGACCTCAACGTTCAAACTGCTGCTCGCTATCCTATCACCGATAAAAACTAGGATACGCGGCTAATCTTTGATGCAAATAAATGAGCAAATTGTACATAGATAATGTATCATATCAAGCTTACATAGATAATGGGTTATATCAAGCTAACATGTATAAAAACGTCTACACAGATAGCGGTGGTAATCAGTATGCCCGTCATCGCCAAAATCGTCGAAGAAATGGACGTTGAACAACGCCAATCCCCCATCGTCCAGGCTCTAATGGCCATCGATACTAAGCTGGATACTATTCTGAACCTATTCGCGGCCTTGGACGCTCGCCAGCATCGTTTGGAGGCGGCGAACCAACCGCGAACATCCTCCTGCGTATTCTGCCCCGAGGGCGAAGCCAGCCATCCGTCGGGCCGCTGTCCAAAATATCCCGACCCCGTGTCACGCGCGGTCCAGGCTTCGCGCCTGGGCCTATGTGACCGGTGCCTCCGGAGGAGCCACGACGAACCGTGCGATGCGAGCTGCAACCACTGCCGGAAGCCGCACAACACCTTGTTGTGTCCGGTACGCGGCTTCCGGCACACTCCAAAACACCTACCGCACAAAAGAAGAAAGTTCTAATAGTATGTTGTGTATTTAACTTCATTTTTTGCAACTTTCGATATGATTGTATCGCACAAAAAAAAATTGATACCGTATTTGTAGGTTTCATCTCATAATTGTATGGTTTTTTCATGCCTGTATGGTTGTTCTCATTTTTACTCCCTTTTTGTTCATGACTGTACTCATATTCTAGACTCGCCGCCCCCGGGAGTGTCGCCGACATGGCGACCTCTTCGGCAGGCTCCCGATAGAACTGTTTGCCCAGCTCCCCTGCTATAAAAGCAGGGGGCTGGGAGTGATAAGCATGTCTCTTTCGCATCCATCAATTTGCACCTGGTCCGGGTAAAAAGGACGTCATTGTTGTTATATTATTGCTATATTCCCGAATAAATCCTTTTGTAAAAGTCTGAACCACCGTTTGGCACACTGCGCCAGGAGCGCTGCTGTTGTATCGGCTGAAGTACGTTGCGGCGTCGCTTCGCAAAAATTTCGCGCTGATCGTACCTCCTGACCCTTCCCCCAAAATAAGGTCCCTTTGTTAGCTAACGGTTGAACGAACACTCTTTTTCGCCGCGCGCGAAGATTTAATGCATGAGTGGGAGATTGGGGCTGGAGGAACTACATATAAGTGGAGGATTTAGTATCCATTACCGCTTAAATCTAGCAATCTAGCAAAAACCATTCGGACAGAGATATGCCTCCAATAACAGTGGCTCGGAAAGTTCTCGAAATTCGAAGCTCCCACAGAGAGGCAGCGTCTGGGGAAACTTGGACACACCTTCAAGTTGATTTTCAGTTGCGCTGACCTCAATAGTCGACGGGAGTGGAAGAGGCAAGAAATTTACATTTTTCAAAGCTCATCTGGAAAATGCTTGGATAGATGCCCAGCCGGCCAAAAGTGAATGAGGATCGCTCCTTATATGATCATAACATAGACATTCACACCGTGCTGGGAGAGGAATCAACAGGAGGGCTCGGAAAGGGTGAGGGGATGGAAAGAGGGGAGCTTGACCTCTCTTGTTAAAGTTTGGAGAATTAGCGGCTGTTATAGGAGGGCGGGACTATCCAGTTTTAGTTAATAGGCTCTTTATCTATCAGTGGCGTACCGAGGGGGGGGCGGGGGAGGGGGGGCGCCCCCCCCCCCGAGAATGGGTCGCGAAATTTTTGAAATTTACTTATACGGGTTATAAAAATGTGCAAATGACTTGTTTATACTTGTAAATAATTAAAATATTTTTTAAAAATTTTTTAAAATTCAAATTAGCCTTGTAAAAAATTTTTTTTCGGGGGCGTGGCTGACGCCACGCCCCCTTTTTCCAGATTTTAGGGGTTGGGGACCCGCAAAAAATTTGAGAAGCACCCCTATTTTTCGGAGTGCGTGGCTGACGCCACGCACCTTCATTAAAAATTTTTTTGTCGCGCCCCCCCCCCCGAGCCGAAATCCTGGGTACGCCACTGTTATCTACTATATCAAATTTCAAGGCTACAGCTTTGTCGCCGAACCTATTGTGATCAGGGAATTTTTTCTTTTTTTTGTGTTAATAAAAACACTTTGCGGATTTACTTTGAGCAAGCATTGGCAAGGAGATGCTTCAGCCGTTGAAATTTTTCTCTATATGGGAATAGAAAGGTCCGATCGTGGCTACTTGATTAAATAACCATAATCAGTTCTGTAATATTTAAAACGATTTTGGGTTATCGCGAGGAATTTGTCCAGTAACGTATTATTATTTTGACCCTCTCTCTAGTCTTTCCCTTCTCTACAGAACATGAATGATTACTAAAGTTTATCCTTATGACATCACATTATAGAAATAGAGTATATAGAGGTATAGACGGTAGGTATACGGCATAATATAAGTAGTAGACGAGGGTAATACATAATCAGAGTGCCGTAGGAGGTAGATGATATCGAGAATAATGAGGAGGTTACATGGATTGGTAAATAAGGAGATTATAATAGGAGGTAACAATGTAGAGGTTAATAAGAAGGTTACATGGATTTGAAGGATACATAAAGAATACAAAGCAATGATAAAGGAAAATGAGGAAGGGGCGATTAAATGAGGTGCGGTGGTGCCAGCCGAAGCTGGCGGCGGAAGTGCATGAGAACCCCTGGAGGCGGGGTTACTCTCCTTTTATACTCGCATTAATGGCGAGCTGTGCGGGCGCAACCAATAGCGCAGTGGTGGTAATTTGCGCTTTTCCTACAGTTCAAGTCCTCACTCTACCTCGACAAAGTCATGAGATTCCATTATTCAGATAGAAGCATTGCGAAAGAAGATTGTAGAGTGTCAGGAAAAAGCACAGACAATTGTGACTATGGTTTGCGACCTACCCGGCTAACATCAATCATCAGATTATATTTGTTCTAGGCGAACAAGAGAATCGCATACCTATCTGGAATGTGGAAAGATACAAGCGATGTGATGTTGAAGAGCGATGTTAGCGATTCTAGGTAACCTTAATGTTTTAGATACGTATGAAGAAGCTATCCAATAATGGGCCAGTCACAGCTCCTTCTTCACCTACACCTTTACTCATTTTTTGCTTCATTCAAACTACTTCCGATTGTACTTATTGGATTCTTAGCGTAGCCCCGCAAGCAAAATTTGGGGTTTGCTCACACGCAGTACCGATCTCTTCATTTGCGTTGATGAAGTTATGATTTATAGCGAGTGCTCACCCATTGCGAGGGTAGACAAAAAGTAATCACTTTAAAAGAACAGAAGACCCGTTTCAGTATGGTGCGAGCTCCTTTGCATAATTCTACGCTCATTCAAAGACAGAATTCAGATTTTATCCTTTCCGGGGTGTGGCATAGTAAGTCACTCAAAAGTCGAATGTTCGCATAAGATTGCTTTGACAACAATTAGGACTGAACCGAAGTCGACATTCAATATTCTCCTCCAAACAGGGCTTGACACAGATGGCTTATAAGCAAGCTAAATATCGTTTTTGAGACAGTAAAGGAGATTTCGAGATTTTGTAACCGAAAAGACTCAGAATTTGAGACGTTTTTTTTAATCAACGCTTCATTTTTTGGAGATCTTCTAAGGATTGTGGTCTAGGGTCAAAGGGGACTTCGTAAAAAAAATTCGCAAAAGTCAAGGGGGACTTCGTTTTTTGCATTTTCAATTAGCCACCTTGTGCCGAGCCCTGCCTCCAAAGGCGGATTCCAAGAGACTGAACGTCATTTTTTTGTGCATACTTTCTCGGTGGTATTGTCGCATTGGATTGCAGATTTTTGAAAGGATGCAAAATTGGAGTATCTTTCCTCGCAATATAAAGTTATACGGTGCCGGACGTAAGCAACGTGGAAATAAGATCGACTGACGTAACATGACGTTTTGACTTAATCACAGTGCTTTTTTGACGAGAACCCGATCTCCGGCAAGAAATTTGCAGATTCGGAAAGTTTTTTGACCTTGTGCAGTATTATTCTTTCTGCTAATATTAGGTTGGCCTGAAAGTTCTTTCGCACCACATTCAAAAATTCATAACTTCTGATTTTTCCAACCGATTTGACTGCTTTATTTTTGTAAGAAAGAGTACAATCTGCCCCAATCCCAACCAGGCCAAAATTGGCATGGCGGGAATCCGCGTCGCTAGGGTTTCGCGGTCACGCCCACGGCCTGCTTCTCTGCTCTCTCTTCGACCCCTTTGCTCTCTCCGACAGCGCGCATATGCAGCGCAGATCGCTAGCGCTGCGAGAGCGCAAATTTACGCCGACGTTTCGGTCTGATCCTGATTGAAGCAGACTATAGTTCATGCCCTTTATAATAACATCTTAGCAGCTTGCTAATGATCATCTGTTGTATAGATAGGAGCGATAGAAGAAAATTAGTCAAAATTCGAATTTTCTGTGTAGGGTCATAAAAATCGGAAATTTGCAAAAAAAAATCGGAGCAGTCGGTATTGTAGGTTCTTTCACCAGCTCATTCCAACAGTGCAAAGTTTGCGCTTGTCTCTATGAAAAGTTATGATTTCTTCATATCTAGAGTCTCTCGCGATCTTGATAAACTTATCAGAATGCAAGTGCTTCCAGTTAGACTTTCTCATTTTAAAACCGTCCTTAAGAGCTATCTACTTTCTTCATCTAAATATTCATAATCACTATTGTTCTTTTTCTTTGCACGTGTTCACGATTGTTTTTTTTATTGTTCTGTCGTGTCTTTTGGCATGTACTGTTGTTCAGTGCTGTTATAATTTTCACATAGGGTTCCCTATGTAAATGAGAAAAAAAATTTCCGAGCAAGCAATACAAAAGGGCGAATTTGATTTATTTTGGCATTTTTCAGGGAAATCATAACTTTTCATAGAGACGCTCAATCAGCGCAAACTTTGCATAGTTAGAAAGAGCTGCTTGAAGAACTTAATGCTGACTGCTCCGATTTTTACTGCAGGTTCCAGATTTTTTATGACCCTACACAGAAAATGCAAAATTCGAGTAATTTACTTCTACCGCTCATATCTATGCAGTGGATGCTCATTAGAACGCCTCTAAGAAAACTCTATGTAGAGAACGAATTGCTCTTTCAGCTAAAAATAAAATCATACAAATAGATTAGAAAGAATAGGAGTTGTGAATTTTTGAAAATGGTGCGAAAGAACTTTCGGGCCAACTCAATAGAATACAAAATTAGATTAGATTTGTAGAAATGGCGGTCCTACCTAACAAGCAGTCCTCTATGCACAATTTTTTCTTTTAGTTGAACAACTTTTACAAGGTGTATGGCAGCCAAGACAAAATAATGTGTTCGACAGTTTCGAAGTTTCTGACTGCAACATATAGCCGAAACATAATGCAGTAAGACGTCTGTAGGAAATCTGTGGCAAGGCGGTACAAAACATCATGCCAATGCCGTATTGGAGTTGTGAAGAAGATATACGAGGCTCTACAATTTTGTTGAGGGATAGCTCGTAGTACAATAAGCTATGTTTTGCTTTCTGATCTACAACCATCGCGTTAGAGTTGATGACGGCAAAATTTGTATGGTTCTGATTTCCATCGGCATGATGATCGGCAGTTACACTTGCTGCTTTGCAGAGTCATCAATGTTTTTGTGTAGGCGCCTTTTGAACTTTCCTTTTTCAGAGGTGGAGCTCTAGAACGGATAAGCAGAGGCGAGAGAACTTTCAGTGTGAGTCATATCACTGTTATCCCTGCTCCACTCGTTATCCGACGAGTGATTGACTTCCCTGAAATTGCGAAGCGTACATCAAAGCATCGAAAAAATTGGGAAAAGCAGTAGATTTTTGCAAAAAGCTATCATGCCTGAAACCTCATTGATCATCATGCCAAGAATGGTCATTATCAAAAGTTCCATGGGAAATGTAGAGGCATAATAACAAGTCAATATTGTTCAATTCTTTCAAGAAGTCGGTTTAATGGCCGAAAAGGGACCGGATGTGTGTGACTTCCCTGGTGATCGGGCGTAAAACCTTTCACCAGTAGTTCTCAATAAAGTACACAGAAAATGACAAAGAGAAAGAGTACATACGAATGAAGGTAAACAGACGTAGCGAATTCGACTGAATGACAATAACAAAGAAAATACTACATATTTTATAAGAACTCAAAATTCTTCGCTGGATAGGTCAGAAGTTTGTAGGCGAAATCGACGCCAAACCCTTGGCTTGAACTGAGGATGGGTTTCGTATTTTCGGGCTGCTAAATACAGTCAATTAGAAAAATCTAATCCTTTGTGTGCTTTTATACGATCAAAGACTTCGCTTAGTTGCACAGCAATGGTATGACTAAGGAACATGCGTAAGCACACTTGACTTACCAAGCTTACCGACTTACTCACTATCAATATGTAAGGCGACGTATTAATAGGTGCAACGCCTTGGTTAGGCATTGGGCATACCTTACGCGATTTATCGCTGTCCGATTACTCCATCGCACATCCGCGAACCAAACAGTTTTACAATTCGCAAAAAAACTTGTACTATGAGGGTTATTCATGGTATAGGCGTCTCCTATGCGTGTAGCGGGCGTGGCCCTGCAGACATTTGAACACGTCAAAAAACTTGTTGAAGCTCCACTTTAGAGCATTGGTTTGTAATTTCTAGCTATCAAAAACTGCCACGCGCATACATTGGCAAACGTCGGCAAAGCTCCGCCCGCTATACTGTGCGGAATAGACGATACTTGAAGTGATAAATGTGAATTCGGAATGAACTTGCTCAGTTTTTTCTTCACCTGGCCCCAAAAGCAGATTACGAGCTCACCTCCTTCCAGCGTGTGCGAATTCGGATGAGGATAGGTTAGCACACTTTCAGTTTAAGTTGTATAAAATACCATCTGGAACCCTTTTTAGCCAGAACAAAGCACCACAGCCCTACGGCTATAGACTCTCTGGCAAAAAGGCTTTGTAGCCGTTCACTTTCGATAAAACCTTGAGTAAGAGCTGGGCCCATTGTACAGGGTGTCCGTAAAAAATGTGCCTACTGTTTGATTGTGAATAACTCTCTTCTAACGAAGTCGTTCGAGAAGCTTTAGGCACCATTTTGTAGAGCGAGGTTCATCTTAGATTTGCAGTATAGAGCGAATCACCGAGCTCTTTTTATTACTGTAGGATTACGGTAGGAACTTCGACAAGGATTTTAGGTCTTTGGAGGCCATAATCTGCCTCGGAACATAACCAAACAAGCCGGAAATTCTTACAATATGGTAATGGAAGCCGCTCTTTTCGAATATGAAATTTCCACTTTACTGTGGTGCCTCTTTCCTAAATTACCCCAGGCGAACCGTAATAATTGAATTTCCAGCATTTTTCAGAAATGTGATTACACCGTCAAAAAAGCTGAAAACACCCGTAAAAAGTTGTGTAGTGGAATCAGCGTGCGCGAAAACCCTAGTACACGATTTTTCAGATTTTTTGAAAAAAATTTTGTCAGGCGGCATATTTCACGATGGTTCCATATGCTGAAAGTTCCTACCGTATTCCTACAGTAATAAAACGAGCTCGGTGATTCGCTCTATACTGCAAATCTAAGCTGAACCTCGCTCTACAAAACGGTGCCTAAAGCTTCTCGAAAGACTTCGTTAGAAGAGAGTTATTCACAATCAAACAGTAGACACATTTTTTACGGACACCCTGTATATTACAGTTATTAGCATTGATAAAACGGTAGCGGTTGATGAAGGGGGTTCTGGAGTTGAGCTTGAGGACTCTCCCAATGCTTTTATAAAGAGGACCAGATATATGTTAACTATACAGTCTTACACACAGCTGTTATACTCCTTTTTGGTGCCGATAACACCTCGCGGAAGGAGTGATCTTGTGGCGCTAAAAATGAAGATGCTCTCGTTTGACTTTTTTGCGCTAAACCGTTTTCTACAAGGACATAGTTGATGTGCGCTTTTCAGGATGTGTTTTCAAGCGCAGCATCAGCGCTGGAGGCAATATCTACAGCAAAACTGCAAGATGAACTCAAAAAAGATTGCGCGCGTCTCGCAAAAGAACTGCGCACGTTTATGGGCAAGCTAGAGGTAGTGGAGTTAGTTTCTACATGTATCAGCCGTTTCCTACCATGCTGACAAATTCAGTCTTAGGAAGGTGCAAAATCTGTAGAAAGAAAAGCGAAATCTATTCCCAAATCCGACGCAACGACGGAGACATATTCCTCGGACGTTGTTGACCGCACCAAAAAGACTTCTGCGGAGGCAAATGTGAGTGGTAAAATACACAGATATTATCTACTTAACACTTTCCTTTCCAGATACCATCAAAATCTCCTGATATGCCAAAAATTTCCCCGCTTCTAAAAGGAGATCGGCCACCTGTGCTTACTACTGCACAGCGATTATCTCCAACGGCAAAACTCCAAAAAACGCAAGAAAGCTTGAGACTACCTTCTGCTCAGGCGCAAAAGGAGCTACGCATAGCGAAAACTCCGCCAACTGCTACACCTCCTAAGAATGTAATTTCTTTTCTTGCGCTAATAATATAACCCGTTTGCGGTATTTCCAGACCAGCAAGAAGTTAAACAGCGCGTCTAGCAGCGCCAGCGGTTCAAAGGAACAAGTTCGTCCTTGACTTTCGTGATTCAGAAACTTTCATATTAGTGTGTTCACATATTTTCTTCACTTGCGTTCATAATACTATACGATTCAATGTCGTAATTCGCTCAGGTTTTGTGTTCTCTGTAAACCATTGTAATTTTGCTGTAATTTAGTACAGGCTATTTATTATTTTGGACATGGGCTCGCTCAAAAAATGTTCCCAAGCAAAATTGCTTCTTGAGGAGTGAAAGCGAAAAGGTTCTACTCTTATGATTAATATTCCGACAAATAGCTGAGTTTATAAGCAACAGTTCGTCGATATCAAGTAGGAGCGGTGTTGATATTAAGCCTTCAAAAATCTTATAATCACTCTACTCCTCATTTTCTGGATTACAGATTCACAGTCTTGATCTTGACGTACATAGTCGTTGAAGGTCCTTCCAAACCCTTTCTTACACCATTAATTGACAAAAATTTGATTAGTGTTTCTGTGCAAAAACTCGTGTCACAGAAGTGTTGAGGAAGATTTCTCCTTTTCCAAATCATCTTTGGTTGAGCAAAATGCTGAAGAAGAATTTTTTTGTTTTGTGGATCAAAATCGAGGTGTCCGTTCTGAGTAACGGTTGCGAATCAGCGCTATAGATGGAACTATGTCTGCAGCATCGATAGCCCCTTGCATAAAACGAGCTCTGCCCTCAGCAAACTTCTTCAGCCCCAAGGCCTTCAATATCCCTTTGAAACGGGGCCAAGTCCGAAAGACCACTGAATGATTCACTCATTTAGAACTATTTTTATGAGCTATGAACTACTTTCCACAGTGAATTAGCGGGTTAATTCTCATTGCAATCTTCGATCACTCCGAGATAGCTGTTCACGCAGAATAGCGGGCTTGGTTGACCCATAGTGGAGGAACCTTATTCATATTGGGACATAGCAGCGGTTCAGTTCACTGTCCTACTCTTCTACCTTTTGCTTTGAACTGAATAACACTCTTGACAGCGTTATCTTATGTCTGACCAATTTATTGCGAATAAAACCATGACCGTAGAGGGATGACACAAGACGATGACCTTTGTCACGTTTGATGGAATATGCGATGTACTATGGTTTCATCTCTAAATACTGCAGTGCCGATTGGGCTTTGGACTGCTTGCTTGCACTTTTATTCAAAGAGATTAATCAGCATCTGGGTGCTTGATTAGTAAGCCAGGTTGATAAGAAACTCCACTTTATTAAAGAGAAGTGCTACCTAACAAGCGATTGATTTCTTTGCTGTCAACCAGCTGTTTGCTTTTATTTGTACACACACATGCGCATCGCATACGAGGCACTTCTGGTCTAAATTTATGACGCCAGTAATTGATTTTTCAATGATTCAGGCCGTCGAAGAGTAAGACCTAATTCGGCTCAAACCTTGATCTTCCCCGTTCATGACAATGGCATACCATCACGCCACCCATCCCCTGTCGAAACTGCCATCGACCAACATAATAATAGATTTCCGGAATATTAGCACAATAAAAAGAAATATGAAAACGGCATGTTATTGAGTCTTTGAAGTATTCCAAGTATTCTATGGTTTTTCTTACGTAGAATAAAAGAGATGTAAGTTTCTTAACAGCATAAACTGGCATTGCAGAGCAAGCGAGGCGCGGCTGAAGTATCGCGATAAAACGACTTACACAATGGCAATTTGTACCATGCACTTGTATAGGTCATTTATAAGACCGTGACGACGGATTTGACTGCGGTCTTTGCGCCCACAGGAGCAGAAAACACTCATACAAAAAAGCGTCACCTCAGCTCTCAGCTCATTCACTTCCACTGTCTAAATGTTATCATATGTAAGCAGAAAAACCGCTCGAGTAGAGATGAAAACCAATCAAATACAAAAGCTGGATAAACGTGAACATACACAGTGCGAGTGAGCAGCTCATTATTCACTAGCTGGCTCACCCGGCTCCGCCTGGCCCTGTCAAAAACGATAAAGGTTCCATTTCTATCCCTGTATACCTTTACCTGTGCCCACTTCTACATCCCCTGTTCCCGCTGCGTGAGTAATCAGTATGCTCACCTACCTTCCTCACCAACCCCCCAGCCCCGTAGCTCAAACTTTGCACAAAAAAAAACAATAAAATCGATAAAAGTAAGGATAATTCTAAAAACTGATGGCGTTATTCGGCTATCCAGGCCCCAAAATGTTTTTGTGACGGATCTTGCTCAAACTCGGTATATGGGGGTTATTTGAGCTGCTGATGACAATATCATAGTCATCGCGTGGGCGGGTAATCATAAACCTGCCTGAAACCTTGGCAAGGAATTACCTAAAGTGCTGTTCAAAGAATATCGCTCAATCCCCGCGATAAAGGCAATTCGTGTGGTATAAAAGTTTCCCACGACCGTAATGCTTTCTTTATAGGACCACTGCCGCGCGCGATACATCCTTCGGCGGCTTTTGCCTAAGCAGAAATAGGGGGAGGGAGATTTGCCGCATGCAAAACACTTCGGCGGTTTTTGCCTAAGCAGAAATAGGGGGAGGGAGATTTGCCGCGTGCGATACACCCTTCGGCGGCTTTGCCTAGGCAAATCAGGGGAGGTAGATTTGCCGCGTGCGTTACACGTTGGGACAGGTTATGAGGATGGCGCTGGAGACCGCCATGCAAAACGACCGTTTCCCCATTTCATGAATATCTGGGATCTGAATTGGCCCTGTCCATTCAAATCCTGCAACTCACAATAACTTCACTAATGCGTTATGACAGCGAGCAAGTTTCATATTCATAAGCAGTATACTTGTGAACCGTTACAGGTAAGGTTTTGAGCAAATCTGGAACTTCGACCCATCTACACCCACCGTAACCCAAGAAAATGCACCATCCTGCGAAATCAACATGATATTTATGTTCAGCGCGCTAAATGACCACCCTAGACGAAGTTTGGAGCAAATCTATGTTTTCGACCCCACACCATATATAACCACCCTAACTCTATGAAGAGGTCCCAATATGCAGAGAAAGTATGAAATTTGTAATCAGCATGTCGAATAAGTTCTCTGGACCGAACTCCAGCCGAATTCATGATTTTGACTTCTACCGTACACCTATCGTAACCACATGGGGAGACTTTCTGCAACGAAAGTGTGATATCTGTAATCAGCATGTAAGATAACTCTTATACACGAATCTGAGCAAGCTCTACGACAAAAAATTTTGGGGCCCGGTTAGCTGAATAGCGCCAAAATAATATCGAACTCGTAATCAGCATGCTTGATTACCCCCCTGTGCAAACTCCCAGCCCCGCAGCTCAAACTTTGCAAAAAATCGATAAAATCGATAAAAATAAAGGACGACTTCAAAAACTAATATTGTAATCGGAATCCCCATGCTCGATTATCCCCTGTGCAAACTCCCAGCCCCGCATGTCAAACTTTACAAAAAAAAATAGGTAAAATCGATAAAAGGAATCGATAATTCCGAAAACTAATATTGTATTCGGAATCAGCATGCTCGAGTACCCCCCTACGCCAATTCCCAGCTCCATAGGTGAACTTTGCAAAAAAAATCGATAAAAATCGATAAAATCGATATCGATCGATGACGAAAAGTAGCCTATGACACCCGCCGGGGCCCGAAGTGTATGTGTGCCAAGTTTGGTCAGGATCGGTTCAGAAATGGAATTTTCTATTCGGAGCATACGTACAGACAGACAGACAGACAGACAGACAGACAGACAGACAGACAGACAGACAGACAGACAGACAGACAGACAGACAGACAGACAGACAGACAGACAGACAGACAGACAGACAGACAGACAGACAGACAGACAGACATTCAGCTTTATATATAGGATTAATCTTAAAGTACATACTATCTGGATGACTCAAGCAAATCTTCGAACTTTCGCATGCACTTCTGACTTTTATGAAAAACAGATACGGTGCGCATGCCCGCAGAAGGAACTGAGGACGCTCATTTTGAGAACATCCTTCTGATGCTAAAAAGCAATCTAACAATAAGAGCGCAACGAGTCTCAAAACAATCTTTTACCTGAACAAAAAATCCGAGTTAAAAACATGGGTGAAAAATTATTTATTCAATAATTAAACCCAACCAATCGTTTACAGCTTCTCAAAGTCTTCACTAAGATCCTTGCAAGGACAATTTCCATTTTTGCATTTTGATAGCTCAGCACTTGCGTAGCCATGAGGATAGTTACAGAAATAGGGAGAACTCATCCAGTAATTCCATGGCATGACGTAATGAGGACACATATCTTTGTAAACCTCACACTGCACGCTTCTTCTAGAAGAGGAACGTTTGCATGCGGAGCACTTTTTGCTCTCGCCATTGGCTCCTCGTCGGTCTTCGTTTCTGTGTTCTTCTTCATAACCACAGTCATGGCACGGATGGAAGAGGTCCAAGCTTGGCGGGCACGGAAAGTAGACTTTCGCATCACAAGAATTTTCAAGAATAGCTAGGAGTTCATCAGCGTTCCTTATCACATGAATGTCGTCGTCGCGGTCGAAGGCATAGAAGTTGCCTTCAACGGGGAAACCGTGTCGTTTTGCCTCTTTCAAGAACTTCTCGTAAAGGTCATACTTGTCCTTGTATTTGATAGATAAGGAAGGTGTAGGTTTCACATGGAATTTGAAGGAGACGGTATTTTCATCAGCCATGGTGAGGGAAGAATGGAGAAATGACCGCTCGCCTTTGTTTTATAGATTCAAAAATGGGTGGGTTCTTATAATGTTGAATAATATTGCACAACCAACGATCAGGTAGAAAGTGGCACGATCTCATGATGAAAAAGAAACACGGCAGCAACACTAAGAGATTGTTGTGCAATATTACGAGGAGTTATGCCTTTCTTCTTTTCGCAAATTTCGCCCTATATAAAGCCGCGTTGGTTCACTAGGCTATGTGAAAATCTATTCTACCATCATGTCTGAAGACGACCGTGAAGTCAACGTCAGGCTCTGCTATGCGAATATTCCAACAATCACTATTTCCTACAAAGACAAAAAGGATCTATTCAAAAAGTTCAAGCAGCAACTCAAAACCCTGCCCTTCAATACTGATGAGCTCTACTATATTGATCGAAATTTCGATCAAAGTGAAGTTAGAACTG